GTATTAATTTTTATGTAGTACAAATGTGTTCGCAATTTGATTGCTTCTGTAGTGTTCCTTAAGTTTCTTTATATATTTTTCGGCATTTATTTGTAACACGTATATTCTCAACATACATATAATATATATATAATAAATTGTATTCGTGTAAGTCGGGGTGTGCGAGGCGAGCCGTTGTACATTTGCGTCGTCTGAAGAGGTCCCAGCCCTCTTATTGTAAACGATCGATACATGTGCCTTGCTAGCAGCCGGCGTCGAGATCAAAGCTCGCTTCTAACAAACCGTTTCCTAGTACCAAATAAGAGGAGCACAGCACAGCCGGTCATATCGTCCTTGTCTTTATTACCTCATATAAATAACCTCACGTATATTATTTATATTTTTCCGTACTTACAAAGCGCACTGCACTGTTATTTGGTACACCCCCCACCTGTTTTAATTATTATTATTATTATTTGTCTTTAATATATTATTATTTTTTTTAAGTTATTTTAAGATGTATCATCATGAATTTGTATCAGCGTATCAAATGTTTAATATAATATATATTATATATTTTAATCGTTATTTTCTGAGACTACCTAAAGCAATGTATTTTAACAAACAGGAGAACAATAATTATTATGTAAGTGTAACAGTTAGTGAATTTAAGTGTGCTATTTTCCATTCCAGAACTCAACGATAATATCAATGTTCATGTAATAATACTTACGTTCGGGTTTTTTTTTATATAAAAAAAGAAAAAGATGTTATTATTGTATAATTAAAAATAAAAAAAAAATAACCTTATGTGATTGAAATGCAATGTTTAGAAGTATTTTATTCTTTATTTTTTACCATTAAATAATAGTTAGTAGAGATCTATTTGAGAGTCTAATGTATCAATTATTTGTAAAGTTGGCTGTAACTAATTAGAAGTTACGTTTAAGTAGACATATTTTAATATAAACATTTGGAGAAAGTTTTTATGTAGATGACGGATAGTTGTTTTGATCATTATGTGAAGTGTTGCATGGTATTTATGATATGATATGATATGATATGATAAGTTGTCGTATGTAAGTCTAGTATCGTAACGTGTCGTGCGTGTTTACGTTACGTAGCGCAATGTGTACGCACAAGGGAGGGGCGCACGTGCTCACGTAAACCCTGAACTCTTACTGCACAGCACTGCTAGTATAATTCAGTTGTGTAAGGATATTTTTCTTACATTTCATATAAGAGTAATGTTTATAGTATAGGCAATAATGTTTAACAAAAGTCCCTATGTAATCGAACTGACGACAGAAACGCTGTTATATTTGTGGCCTCTTTATGAATAAGATCTAAGTTACAATGTTAAAGAAAAAAAAAATTAATTTTGCTATGCACAGAAATGATACTCAATTAATTGCCAAAAAGTTATATGTATATTCATAGTTCAACAATATTTCTTTTGGGCATATTTACTTTGAATTTATGCGAAATTAGATTATGAATAAGTAGGTTGTAGATAATATGTAGAGTGAATGCATATATAATATATCTATATATTTAAAGTAAGGTGAATTTGAGATGTATCAATTTCTTGTATTGTTCATAAGTTTAGATAATAAATGGGTTTAGCCATACTTCGGCTGGTTTGATATGTATGTTATCTGATTAATTGTAAAAAAAATAAAAAAATAATAAAAAAATAGTGTGTTTTATTTCACCTTGCCTTTCCTTACTGTAGATATAACCAGTAAGTAAGTAATGATAATGATAATAAAGTAAGTGCTTCATATAAAAAGTATGAGTTTTTGTAAATGAAAGTTACTCTGCTACATGGTATGGAAACAATTGATTACTATTCCTTCATAAACTGTGAGGCGTATACAAAGCGAAATGTGAACTAAAATAAAATTGAGTGTAACATTGAAAACTAAAGATATCTGGCGATATGCATTTGTTTAATTTATATGTGAGTTATATTAACACGTATATATAGAAGAGAGCTTAAATATATTTCAATTGAAAGAAACAATGTAGGTATATTTATCAGGTATGATACATGAAACTGGAATTACATTGCTTCTTATAATTTTTCTCATCTTAATAGAATATTTAAATTTATATAGAGATTAGTCCAACCGAACAATACGAGTATCACATATTTGTCGGGGATGCAAAACGAAACTAATGAATTGTATAAATTTAGTATTATAATTTTACAAACCATTGCAATGTATGTATGTAGGCTTACATTGAGTAAGTCACACATTAAGTTAAATTAGTAAAATTTATTTTTAAATAGTTTTTTTAGATCAGTATTTTCAAAGTGGACGATAACGCCCTTTGTGGGTTCTGTAGGCCTGGATGTGATTTGTAATTTATAGTGTAAATTTGTAAGTTATGGTGGTTTTTAGTAGGAGAGAAATAGGGGTGCTAAAAATAAATTATTCCCAAAGTGGGCAACAGATAAGTTTAGAGTAATTTTTGGTTTTCTTCCCTCTATTGCTAACGTAACTTTTGTAGGTTGAATTCGAATATACTACACCTATGTTATATGTAAACTATATTATATCTATAATTAAAAATATTCTATTTAGGTATTAATATTATATTTCAACCTAAAATTTTTATGAATCGAGGTTTGTCTGAAGAATGTTCCTTATTAGTATTTGTTCTCGTAAAGTAATTTTCTTTTTATTAAGGACTGACTGACTGACTTAAGGAAATAATTTAAATAACAAATATAGAAAAAAATATAACGTGAGAGCGATTTAAATAGAGAATCATAAGTTTTTTGAGACCGTAGTCAAAGAAATCGGTGTCATTGCAAAAATCGGATTTAATCCACAGTTAAATCTTCTCTACTTAATATATCTATATTATTACCTTTTTATTTTTTTGTAGGTATGTCTTATATTTAATAAACGCTAATATAATTAAACAAACTGGTAGAATATTGTACAGACATTATAAAAGTGTGATTATAACGTAATAAAATGGAAAGTTTAGTTAAAGAAATATATAACAACATAAATGTTTATTCATTAAGTCGGGTTAGACAAGTGTAAATACAAATATGTGCCGACATTCAGCATACATTTACAAAACATGCCTTCACAATGTTTACAAAGTGATCAAAATTTATTTCCTGTCATAGAGTTATAAATGTAAATTGCAACTTGACTAAAACAGTAGGTATATTCTAATATTACTCTAAATATATATATATAACAAATATTATTAAAGTTTTATAATGACAGCAGGTGCAATATAGCGTTTATCTTTTTGATATGTAGATTTACCTAAATTCTATATAATTATAGTTATATAATATATTCTAATAATATTTACACAGCTATATATAGATATGGTAAGGATCTAGCTAAGCAAATGTTTATTTTTTGTTAGAAGTTTGCGTTAAGAATGATTTGTTCTGTTATAACCTAGGATTGTAAGTGTAATTGCGTAAATGCAATTCTATAATAGACAGGTCAGCATTTATCATTAGAACATTAATTAGAACCCCTTCATTAAGTCAGTCTTCACCTAGATCTTGTAATGAGCGGTTGTCCTTTAATTATTAAATAAATCAGTTTATCTTTTTTTTAAAAGTGATTTTAATTCTCCGGGCTAACATTTTGGTGGCAGCGGTGGGATACGAAATTCCCCAGTGCATAACTCCGCTCAAAAGACTCAATTGTATAATCGTATCCTACAAATCTACAAATTATCAACATTATATCCTTAAAAAGGATTCACGCTCCTACAAGGGAGACCTACGGCGATATCATAAGTCGTCAAATCACCGAAACTTCGATTATCCTGCTTGCATCCAGTGAGAATCCCGGGATTAAACGTATAACAGAGATATACCTCACCGAGTCAGTTCGACGTGCATCCACATTCTTGAAGATCATATTCCAGAAATGTGCAATCCGAGAGTCGTCGTGCTCTTATCAGTCGTGCACGTGTTAATGCAGTAAGTCTTTGGCCATTGTTTTGTTCAATGAATTAGGGTTCCTTTTACAATACTTAATATTATAATCTTTTAATTGTGAGTTCATGCATGCATATATTTATATTAGTGTGATTTGTAATTTCAAAACAGTTTTATAAATTTGTTTTAAACCTAAATTATGCCAAAAGTGCCTAAATCAGAGGACGGCAAACTTAACTTAGATATTCCTGACCTAGATCAAGTACCTAGTGATATTTCTGCTAAATCACCTGTAACATCACCCCGCGTTACAAGGCGGACTGCCGCTAACATCGCCATGGCTGAGTTAGACCTAAACATCTTGTTTAAATTCATCAAATCCTATGACGGCAACAGAGAAACTCTTAACTCATTTATAGTAAATTGCGATAATGCATTTGAACTCGCTTCCGATAGTCAGAGGCCCATTCTATTCAAGTTTATACTTTCACAATTGAACGGCAAGGCAGAAGTTGCTTGTTCGATAAAAGATTTTACAAACTGGGAGCAACTTAAGGAGTTCCTTAAGACCCAGTTCAGTGAAAGAAAACATTACTCTCATCTCTTGATGGAGCTTCAGGAGAGCAGACAAGGTCCGCAGGAGAATGTTAACCAATACGCGCTAAAGATGGAAACATACCTTTCACAGCTACTCACTGAAATTTCACTTTCCACTTCTAAACTAAAGGAGCTTCCTGGGCGCACAGCGGCCATGGAAGACCTCGCCCTCCATCATTTTGTCATGGGACTTCAACCCCGCATTTCCAATATTGTCAGATGCAAAACACCAAGAACATTAAATGAAGCAATCAATTTCGCCATTTCGGAGGAGAGAATCCAACAAACCCTTTATAGGCGACCACAGGTCGAACAAAGGTCCAACAATCATAATAGATTTAGGGCTAACCCGGGGCCAAGCTCAAATTCTTCTCACATTCAGTCAGTACGACCAAATTCTAACTCGGCTCCTCTTCAGAGAGCTCCATTTAATACACCCCCAAGGAAGCCATATAACAATAATGATTCAAACCTTTTCTGTCGTTATTGCAAAATGAAAGGCCACGAAATTTCCACTTGTAAGAGGCGCGAGTATAATAACGCCAGAGCTCAAGGGTTTCAAAATTCCCCGCGCGTCAATTTTGTTGAACTGCCTCAAGAGGAAGTAGGCTATGATGAAGTCGATGAGGTAGAACAATCTCAGGATAATTTAAACGCGTAAAAGTCTCGCCCCGGTGCCGATCGAGACAAATTAATGTGATAGGCACCGAATTTAATTCTAAGGGTCATAAACAGGGTAACCAGCCCCAAACTCGCACCCTCTCTAATTCACTGAGCCACGAACAGGGTAACCAGCCCCAAACTCTCGCTCATCCTAAGGGTCATGAACAGGGTAACCAGTCCCAAACTCGCACCCTCTCTAATTCACTGAGCCACGAACAGGGTAACCAGCCCCAAACTCTCGCTCATCCTAAGGGTCATGAACAGGGTAACCAGTCCCAAACTCGCACCCTCTCTAATTCACTGAGCCACGAACAGGGTAACCAGCCCCAAACTCTCGCTCACTCTAAGAGTTCTAAACAGGGTAATCAACCCCAAACTCTCAATCATTCCAAAGAGGTGTATGAAGTTCATATTGATACTACGAAACGGCTTTTACCGCATGTCCTGCTAGAGTCTCAAGCCTCAGATATTCCTCTATCTCTGCTAGTCGATTCGGGCTCCGCCATTTGCCTCATAAAAGAATCAAGTATCCGATCTAATCAAAAACTAATTAAAGAACCTATCAAACTCAAGGGTATAGACCCTAGTGACGAGCCAACTCCTACTATAGGGCATTTCCAATTAAAACTAAAACTAGGAAATAATAAATATCTTTCTCATAAATTTCACGTAGTCCGCGATATTAACTTACCTTATAATGGAATCATCGGTACAGATTTTCTAACTAAATTCGGATGTAAAATAGATTACACTCACGATATTCTAAAGATAGGCAAACAAGAAGTCAAATTATTGTTCTCTGAACCATTCTTTGTCATTCCACCCCGAACCGAAGCCGTAATAGAATGCGCTGTCCAAGAAACCGATCTAAAAGAAGGAGTAATTCTAGACCAACATATTTCCAAAGACATCCTCATTTCCAATTGTATCGTCAAAATTAAAGACAACAAATGCGTTAACATCACAGTAGCTAACACATCAGAGCGTTTTGTAAATATCAAAACAAGCCTCGTTCTTCATGTAGAGCCTATACATCAGACATCATACCCAGTAACGCCTTATACGCCTAACCCGGAAACGTTCAAAAGAACCGCTGAAGTCGTTAATTCTTTAAGAGTAGAACATTTGAATAATGAGGAGAAAAACGCCCTTGTAGAACTTTGTTCTCAATTTTCAGATATCTTCCATTTACCTGATGACCAACTTACCTATACATCTGCTCTGAAACATAGTATTAAAACTAGTAACGACACTCCCATTCATGCTAAATCATACAGATTCCCAGAATGTCACAAGAAGGAGGTAGAAACACAAATTAACAAAATGCTTGACGAAAATATAATTGAACCTTCTTCTTCACCCTGGAGCTCGCCGATTTGGGTGGTACCGAAAAAGGCAGACTCACAAGGCAATCGTAAATGGCGCATTGTCATAGATTACCGTAAATTAAACGATATTACAATCGGTGAAACATATCCGATTCCTCAAATTTCCGAAATTCTTGATCAACTTGGAAGAAGCAAATATTTCAGTACATTAGATCTCGCTTCTGGTTTTCATCAAATCTTAATTTCTCAAGACGATGCACCCAAAACCGCTTTCTCCGTGCCTCAGGGTCATTACCAGTTTAATCGCATGCCTTTCGGGCTCAAAAATGCACCTTCAACCTTCCAAAAATTAATGAATAATTGCCTAACAGGTCTCCAAGGTACTAGGTGCTTCGTGTACCTCGACGATATCGTAGTCTATTCTTTTGATCTGGCCACTCACATTGAAAACTTAAGATCCGTCTTTGAAAGAATTCACAAATTCAACCTAAAACTTCAACCCGAGAAATGTGAATTTCTCAGGAAAGAAGTCACTTACTTAGGGCATATTATCGGTCAAAATGGGGTACAACCTAACCCAGACAAGGTCAAGGCCGTCACAGACTTCCCTACACCCAAGTCTCCTAGAGATATTAAATCATTTTTGGGCCTTGTATCATATTATAGACGTTTCATACAGGATTTCTCTAAGTTAGCCAAACCCCTAACTAACCTTCTCAAAAAAGATACTCCTTTTACATGGGAGAACACACAACAATTAGCATTCGAAACTCTTAAGGAAAAACTCGTTTCGGCTCCAATTTTGGCATACCCTGACTTCACACAACCGTTTCTTCTTACTTGTGATGCTTCCAACTTTGCCATATCGGCTATTCTATCTCAAGGACAAATAGGCCAGGACCGTCCAATCGCTTTCGCCTCTCGTACTCTTAATCGGGCCGAATGTAATTACAGTGTCACTGAAAAAGAGTGCCTCGCTGTGATCTTTGGCACTAAAGTTTTTAGACCTTACCTCTACGGACATCGTTTTACTGTACTAACTGACCATAAACCACTTGAATGGTTATTCAAATGCAAGGATCCAGGTTCCCGGTTGATCCGTTGGCGTTTGAAATTGGAGGAGTTCGAATACGATATCAAATATAAAAAAGGGAAAATCAACACGAACGCCGATGCTCTATCTCGGTTCCCAGTAAATCCAATTCAACCTGAAAATGCCTCTGAATTAGACGAAGATCTCATGGATCTACTCGTATCACCACCTTCTTTCAACCCTGACGAGTTAACTGCAGATATTCAGGATCCCTGTGAATATGACACCGCCGAATTGGCACAGTCGTCTGACCCTATCATAGAACCTACTCTACCAACTGACCCTCCTTCAAAAGATCCCATAGATCTATTAGTACCACCTAATGATTTTAATCCCGATGACTTAATCATAACCTCCCAAGATCAAGGTGAGCCTGTTAGAACTGAAAGTCAAAATACACCTAACCTCATCGTAGAGCCCGGTCCTCCTACAGACGATTCTCTTAATCTAAACCTACCTGATGATGACTATCCCGCATTCTTGAAAATAATTGCAGGTAATAATGCAACATTTAATACAAAAATCATAGAACATAATGAAGATATTCGTAAATCAAAAAGTAAAATAATTATCTTACCCACTTCCATAGACCTCGATGAATCCAACCCCTTTGTTCAATACGTTCTAGACAACATACCTGACAACTCCGAAATCATAAATAAAGAAAGGACGTTAAACTCATTTATATCATTCGAGCACGCCGGCAAGAAATATTACTTCCTTTTCACCAAAGTTTACCATTTCGACAAATGTTCATATGTTGACATTTATAACAGTCTGAGGAATCTCCGAAACGAATTAGTCATAAATGAAAACAGCGACTCAAACATTGAAATAGCAATAACAGAATTTAAAAGTCCCTTTGATACACATCAATTCATCAAGATATATAATATGATTCTCTTCCTTTTCGATAAATCCGGTATAACCATTCATATTTATAAAGATAAAATAATTTACCCCACTCCTTCAGAAATTCCCAAGATATTAAAAGAAAATCACGATATTCCAATCGCCGGTCACCTTGGTAGTAGTCGAATGCTTAAAAGAATTCAAGAAATATTCAATTGGAAAAACATGCGCAGCGATGTCGAGAATTTTGTTAAGAAATGTCCTCAATGTCAACTCAATAAATCTCTTAGACAAATTAACCGCGCACCTATGCAAATAACTAGCACCTCAACCGAACCATGCCAAAGAATAGCACTAGACATTGTTGGCCCTTTACCTGAATCCGGTCCGGCGAAGCTCAAATATATATTAACTGTCCAAGACGACCTCACGAAATTTTCATCTGCTTATCCAATACGAAGCATTACAGCTGAAGAAACTAGCGAATGTCTGCTTCATTACATTTCAATATTCGGTATACCTAAAACTATTCTCACTGATCAGGGAACTAATTTTACCTCTGAATTGTTTAAAGAAACTTGTAAACTTCTAAAAATTAAAAATCTCTGGTCCACTCCTTATCACCCACAAACTCAAGGTGCTCTGGAACGAAGCCATTCAACACTTAAAGAATACTTAAGATCCTTTGTCGATGAAGACCAAACGAATTGGCCTCGTTATGTCTATACCGCTATGTTAACTTACAATACTTCTGTCCACTCTACAACTAACTATACGCCTTACGAACTTATGTTCGGCAGCAAACCTTTTATTCCAAATTCTATATATGAAGAAATACCCGGAGCCACTTATCCAGATTATGTCCGAATGCTTCAGAGCAGACTGAAATATTCGAGAGACAAGGCATTAGATTACATAAGAAAATCCAAAGAATCGTCAAAATCTTACTATGACTGTCACAGTCGCCCTGTGAAATATAAGGCAGGAGATTACGTTTATTTGAAAAATCATCTGAGAATGCGTAAGGCACTCTCACCAGTATGGAAAGGTCCTTACAAAGTTATTAAAATTAATGGTAACAACACACTTACCCTTCTCATTAACAGGCGTCACGTAACGCATCACTTTGATCAGGTGAAACCTGCTGAAACCACCGGAACTAATTCGCGTAGTCCGCAGTCAATTCCTTTAAGTGAATCTCCGGAACTCGTAACATAAGATTAGAGTAATAAGAAATAAAATAAGCATAGTTAGGTATATAAAATATTAAAACGTAAATTTTATATTAAAAACATTGTATTAAGATAAAGTAGTAACTTACTTTAGTTTTGGCAACCGTTGTTTACAGTGTTACACGGGGAGAACCCCAGCGGAACTACGTCCAGCCGATTACTTCAAGTTCAGGTCTTTATTACGACTACTTAGGAAATTTGAAAATCAATAATGTCCAGTTACAAGTTGTAATTCCAGTAGATATTTCCCATTTTAAACCACACATCAAAAATATTGAAAATACCTTAGAAACCTTGAAATATCTTTGTAAACAAACCAGAATTGAACAAATAGATCAGGAATGTCATAATTTATTACAACCGATATCGGCGCGATTCCAAGATATGAGTAAGGAGTTCTCTGCTATTTCCCATCTTCTAGACAATAGATCCAAGCGCAGTGCCTGGATAGGTGTCATAGGAACAGCAATGAAACACATATTCGGTTCATTGGACGAGAATGATGGTATGAGGTATAATGAAGCCATAACGACTTTACAAAATGATGAAAAACGGTTAGCCACGTTGATGAAAGAAAATATCCTAGTTACTTCTTCTACTTTAAAGATACATAATGATAGTTTATTTAAGATTAGAGAAAATGAGAATAATCTCGTTGTAGCTATTGACAAGCTCTCTTTAAGTATAAAAAACATTAGTGAATTAACTAACGGTCTGCAGATCCTCATTAATGTTAACGAAGTTTTTAACGCTATAGAAACTGCCATAATTACTCTGTCCTTTCAACTGGAAGATGTCACTAACGCTATAATGTTTAGTAGTCAAAATGTTCTCCACCCATCAGTTATAACTCCTAAGCAGTTATATCAAGAGCTTGTCGATAATTACAGACATTTGTCTAATGATCTAGAATTACCTGTAGCATTAAATATTGATTCTATACATTTAATTCTAAGTATATCTAAAACAGTTTGTTTTTACATTAGAGATAAGATTGTATTTGTCTTAGAGGTACCGCTAGTTAACACGAAAGAATATGTATTATTCCATAATATAGCTATTCCGACGCCACATAATCCTAAGGAACCTAATTCATTTACTTTAATAATTCCTGAAAATAAGTATATAGCAATGACCATAGACAAATCGCATTATTGTGTGTTTAATGATCTTGGAGTGTGTAAGTCTGTAGGCACAGGAAACTTCATTTGTGACCTCCAGAATGTGTATTCTACGGATGCAAAACCTATTTGTGAAAGTGAGCTATTAGCTAAAGTGATAAGTGGAAAACCGATACAGTGCGAGACGAAAATCTTATACGGAAACCTAAACCTATGGAAATCATTAACAAACAATAATTGGTTGTATGTACAATCCGAACCCCAAAAAGTGTCTATTGATTGTATTAATTCAAAACTATATGAAACTAATATTTTAGGAACGGGAATTCTTAACATCCCAAAAGATTGTATTGGATATAGTAATAGCGCCACGTTTGTACCTACACATAATGTTCTACAGATTAAATCGCCAATTAATCATGTGCCAGATTTTAATTTAATTAATGATACTTGTTGTAACTTAAATAGAGTAAATTCTGTAATCGGTAATGTGTCTCCTATTCGTTTACACAATATAGACTTAGACGATTTCCACTCTGGAAATAAATTAAAATCTATATTAAATAATTTACATCAAATCGAAACGAGGAAATTGCCTCATATTGTGGAATATGGGACACAGTACTCAATTTTCATTAATATAATACTCTCATTTATAATTATTTTCATATTATATTTAGCCATTAAGATTTTTTGTATTAAACTAAACAACCGCCCATTCCAATATTTTAAGAAGAAACAAGCAGTAACTTTGACAACCCCTGAAATTAAGGAAACTATAGACAGAACAGAAATTGATACTGAAATATCCAGTCCAGTAGCCCCACTTAGAACTAGGATATAAAACGAGACTTTGGAATCAACCCCAAAGCCTCTTCTTAAAGGGGGAGGTGTTATAACCTAGGATTGTAAGTGTAATTGCGTAAATGCAATTCTATAATAGACAGGTCAGCATTTATCATTAGAACATTAATTAGAACCCCTTCATTAAGTCAGTCTTCACCTAGATCTTGTAATGAGCGGTTGTCCTTTAATTATTAAATAAATCAGTTTATCTTTTTTTTAAAAGTGATTTTAATTCTCCGGGCTAACAGTTCGATCAATTTGTTTTCAATGTACGTGTTTAAATATTCTGGCCACGTTCTTACACAGACAAGGCTACAATTGAATGACTGCACTGAAATATGGTTCTGGTTTAATATATGTACATATACATTATACATATGTGTTGTTAACGTATCTACGAAAGATGTCAAGTAATAGTTTACTATTACCGTCGAATTCCGTTATAATTGAATTTAGTGGAGCAATTGTGAGTTTCACATATTTACATTCGGGCTATTTTTACAGGTTACTCAAAATAGGTATCTTATAATTTGTATGATACCTACTGATGTCATAAAAATTACGAAGACTTACTATGGTATAACAAAAACTAGGCCGTGATTTATAAATTATTAATTGAAGGAATCAAAAATGAATAGGTATTGAGCTCATCTTCTTACAACGATAGAGTTTTATTATGTTTAATTTTATGAGAATTAAATTGTAATGAACAAGGCTTGGTTGGGTTTAATTTATTATTAGATAGCAATAATATCTTTTACTTTTTTATTCACGTCGGAAATATTTAAGGGTAACAAAAGTAAAGCATCTTTAATATTGAAATTATAGAATATTGCTCAAAAGCTCTACTTAAATGTCAGAATAGAATAATGTTTAACAAAGTTGTTAGTGAAAATCCATAACGAATATTATTAAAAATTATTTTATTTATCTTCAATTATTTTATTATTTTATTTATCAATCATTCGTTAGAGTCGGTTGTTGCAGTCGGTGTATAAAATATGTAATCATCTTTCGGCTATAAAAACATGTTAGTTGAGAAAATATTTATAATTACATGAGTTACTATAACTAGGTATATTTGGTGTTGAACTAACTCTATTCCTATAATACTGAAGGTTATCTCGTCTCAGCTTGTTTCAATGTTTCGAAGATGTGTTTGTACCAGAAATCAACAGCTTTTCCCCACGCATTCAATGTACTGCCATCCAGCTTCAATACTTCTATAAACATTTTTACTATAACATCTTTCAAGTCCTGTAAATAAAAAGGAAGTTTAATCATTCAAATTTCAAACACTTTGTCAGTAAAATAAGTAAAAATTTAACGTATTAATTGAGAAGTTTATATCTCTTGAGAAAGAAAACGAATCTTGAACTCCCTTAATCCCAAAACAGTAAATTGTTTTTCTAATGTATGCGGTAGGTATTTAAGTAGGTAAGTTATTTGTTTTAATTTCCCCTGTTGCTGGGAGTTGAATAATGCTACCACATTTATATAGTCAGTAATGTCATTTATTTTCCACATTGATATGTTTTTTCAATTGTGTTCATTTATATAATTGTAATATATGTATAGGGTACTTATATCTTTAAAAATTATTGATAGATCATAACGTCCATCTTTATTTTTTCATTGTTCTTATTTATTTTTAGTACTACTTATGTTTTATTTATTATAATCCGTAGTATTTTAATATTGACTCACATGAAAGTGTTTTTCCTGTATTTTTCTCCTGCCATGTGACTCTCCCAGTTTGTTCATCATTGCTGCGACAACTTCAGGCTGGTTTAGATTGCTAACAGCCAGGTTCAATGAACTCATTAAATTTATCACGTGCGCTCTGAACTGTGGATTTCCTATGAATTCGTCTTCAGAACATTTCCTCACCATTTTGAAAAACTCCTTAGTTTCTGGGTATGCTCGGAATAATCTACAAATATTAAAACTTACATGTTATTTTATTATTATTTATGTTTAACACAAATTAATATGAATAATATATTTTAATTTTTTATTAATACATGTATTGTATACAAAAGCTACTTTTTTTGTCTAATGTTTTTAAATTAAAAAACTTTTTACGATTTGCAATCAATGTATTCATGGTTTATTGCATAAAATAAATCGAATTTTCTCTTTCTGAACGCATTTCATAGTAACTATATTAATATACACCGTTTAAGGAGTTCAGTTCCATTGGCTACAGAGTTGTTGTAGACTGGAGCCCACGACTGTTGGATGGAGTAAACCTCACGCTTCGTCAAACCTGATATAGGATTTACCAGATCTGGGTCTCCGCCCCACCAGAGATATGTCAGCCAACTACCCATTTCAACCTGGAAAAATTGAGATGATTTAATGCTATTTGCATTGGTGTGATGAAAAGTCACAGGAGTGCATAATCTATAAAGCACTTAAAAAATATTCACTCGGTTTTGAAAACATGTTTTTTAGTTTCTTAGTGATAATTATTCACTTATTTTTACGCAACAACTATTGTCAAAAGCTCCAGTTTTGTGGATCAAAACTAAAGTGTAATGTATAGTTTATGTTTTGTCTGAATATAAAAAATAAAATGAATATGATATCAATTATCATAACACTCATGTGCAATGAAAACTATAATTTTTTCTCTCATACTAAGAATTCTATGAAATACATACATAAAATTTTATGAAATGAAAGTAGGTATATAAGAAAAAACATTTAAGAAAAATTAATGTTCAATTAAAAGGAGATAAAACTAAGAAAAATTATTGAAAGCCGCGTAAACAGTAAAAAATAATGTTCATAAAACATATTATATCCAATAATTTTTAAAATTGTTACCGAAATCGTTTAAATCGGTACCTTATGTCCAAACTTAACCCTCTTCAGCACTACGTACGCTGACAGCAACACAAATGTAGAACAAAGATAGTAGTAGAGCATCTTTTATGGAATTCCAACCTTTTTGTAACAACGGCGTTTAGGCACTGAAGTGTTCTAAATGAAATTAAGCTTTTTGTAATCAATGTTATCTAAATGAGACGTTACTGTTTGTTTTTCACTTAAACATGATCAATCGGTTAGTCATTTCAAATAAATATCACAGAGATATGAAACGATAAAATGATTTGTACTAGATGCAACTGTTGGTTTATTTTGTGCATTTTATCAATAGTTTGTATTTAATTTGCACTCATTGTGTTAACTTCGTTTTATTGTCATGTATTCGAACGTAGAAATACATATAAATGGAAAAGAAATCAATGTTTTTATGGGTGCCTAACATATTCAGTAAAGAAAAGTATGCATTAATACAAAATTATAACTTTACCTTTATATTTTTTTTGCAGCTAGCTTTCAAATCATTTATTATCTACTAGTATAAATAGGATGAGGTATTAAAATAACATTTGTACCAAAACCTGTTAATATAAGAATTTAACTAAAAATGAAGTTGGGGTTTGACGTGGTGGGTAATTTGCTTCAATACCACTTCAAAAGTTTGCTTTGTAATCAAATTTAAATTTTGTTTTAAAGACTCGTATTCTATATTACCACAACATCTCTCAACAGTCATGCTGTAGTTAAATGAAAACTAAAAAAAATTATAGTATAAATATGCTGTTAAAAAAGAATTCTAAAATAACCTTGAGAAGTCACCAAAAGGTATCGTTGCCTACATTTTTCTTCCATCTGGATTTTAATATCCAGACCTATCATGTGACAGATGATTAATACTAGTATATTCTAGAAACTAATTGTTCAATTGTTGTCAAATAGACAAACCTAAACTTCCTAAATACTTAGATTTAATATTTCTTTACATATTTCTATTACATAATAATTATATATCAATTTTAAAGGGTTTAACGTTAAATGTATAACGTTAAATACATAATATTAAAATAGTGTTGGATTCAATGACCAAACAACACCACGATGTATATCAGTAGCGTCGCTTTTAGTAATATTAAGGCCAGCATTTACATAATGCATACTATCAAGGGAAACAGTAGTGTACACATGTTTTAAGTAAATAAAACGGTCACATGAGAAAAAAATAATTATTTGTTTATTTTTTTGTAAGTAATCATCGCTGTTATATATTGCCCTGTTGATTTAAGATAAGTATTATTTGTTATAAAGTGTTTACATTATTAATTTCGTGAGCTGTTTCATCACGTGCTATTTGCTGGGAATAAATTATTTATTCTTTTCATTATCATGGATTTATTTACGTTTATGATTAATTAGTGTTAAACAATTTAAATTTATTCAAGATTAATTATTCCATTGATTATAATTTGATGATTATGTTAATGATCTACTTCGTATTTTTGGTACGAATTTTATTTTGAAACAATAACTGTACATGGGGCAAAATTTTTCAACTTTCGAAATCGTTTTTGCTATTTATTAGAAAACATATTATATTTTTAGTTTAAATTTTATCATCGGAATATTATGAAGGGCATTGAAAATATTAAGGCACCATCTTTGTGCCGATGTTTGATTTAAATAAAGGACATTGTTTGAATACATCTAAACGGTAAATTCTAAGAAATAAAGATCTAAACCAAACAGTTCCTTGCAGTGCGCATGAGACATTTAGAAGGCTTTCGTTTCTTTTGTTTGGAAAAAAGATCTGTAACGAAGGATTGGTTGGACGTATGACGGATCGAAAAGGAGATGGAAGAATTACAAAATATAATTCCTACTCAAACATCTAAAGTTAATACAATAAGCAACTCTAAGTCAGCCAGATAGAATTTATTTTTATTTGTATCGTTCATAAATCATAAGCAATTTAAAAGAAGATGCAAGAACAATTGGTTACAGCCAAAAAGCGAGTGTTTCTGATAACAATAGGTTATTGGCCTAACACATGAAAGGTTGTGCTTCTAATACCAGTTTATGATCTTGGCAAGCGACATACCAGAATGTCAAACTTATTCCAGCTAAGACTGGAAATAGGACGACAAGAAATTGAGAAGCTTTTGTTGGCATCTATTTGGTTCGACCTGAACTGTACATTTGGACAATAATTAATGCATTAAATGATTAGATATATTAAACTTTTAATGTCCCTTACCATGCATTAAAACTAACATACACCAAATATTACTCTGAAAGCTAATATGTATTTCATTTATCTACTATGTAATTTTTTTATTTCAAATGTGACGAAATTTTATCGTCAAGTTTTCGATTGATTATGAGGAATTACGTTCAACCGCCTCTACTATTTTATTTTCTAGTCGATCAGTTTTTGCCCATAGATTGTCATACTTGTGTAATTAAATGAAAAATAATATTTTTTTCATTGGAGATTTCCATAAATCCAAGTGATATATGAAAGAGGATAGTGATACTTTGTGTCTTGTAAATTTACTATAAAGTGATGTCACAGTTTAAATATATAGCATTGAACATAAAATATTCGTCAATAATTATTGTCATCAAAATATAATGCCATAATTTAGAAATCTTTGTAAGTAAAGTATTTATTTAGCTGCTAAAAACACGCCATTTACGTTTTTTTGTGCGTTTAAGTTATAATTGAACTTAAATATTTATAGCTTAATCAAGAAGCTATATTCTGTATTAAACACCGGCCTAATAATGTTACTCTCAAAATGTTAACCATCGTTTTGATATAATTAAAATTCATAGTATTTTTATTATTCATTAACAATATTAAAGGGTTACAAGATACGGCCATTTCAGTGGGTTTATAATTAAATAAATTGTAATTCCCGCACTCTGATGCTCATAGGCAGATTGATGGCTAATTGTGTTATCCTGGAACCGGGTTTTGAGATGGTTTCAGTTGTTTTGTATTGTGATAAAGTTTTTGTTATCTATGGCTTTTATTTGTAAGTAAGTAAGTATAATTGTATCGATAACATTTATTTTATAAATACACTCTTATATGATATAACATTTCTTTTTTTGTGTGTGTTTTCATTCAATAACTATAATATATATATAATAACTGTCTGTATATATATATATATTGTGGCGTAGTGGTTAAAAGGCCCGCTTCTGATGTACGAGGGCGCGGGTTCGATCGTGGCAAGTACCATTGTGATTTTTCCGAGTCATATGTACGTTCTTAGTATTTAGACATCACTGATTAATGCATTCCCAAAGAGGGTTGATGTCAGGCAGGCGGCCGGTCGTAAAAACAAATAGCCAAAACTATTCACAATATGTAAGGCAGACCCCAGGATCTTTTTGTCAATTCAAGCTTTTGTCAATTCAATTTCTTTCCCTTGTACGAGTGTCTTAAACTCTAATTTCTAAAGTCAGTATAAATATAATTATTATTAACAAGAGTTATTTATAAGCTATAAATAACATTTTTTATCTTATATTTTGATCCTGAAACATCTCTTATGTAGTGGATTTAAAGATAAAAAATTGTAAACTGAAATCCGTTCAGAAATTTAAAAGAGATGTATAAATTAAAAATATTAGCCATAGGAAATAAATAACTAATTAAAACATGTTTAATGATGTTAATCAGTTAATAAATTTATGTAATTAATAATATCATAATCTATTTGTGTTGTATTTGTTTTAATTTCAAATTAACAATCTGTTTATTTGTCAACCAATAAGTAAACTTACGAATTCATATTTAATGTAAAATAATAATTTTATGTACAAAGGAAATGAAAAAAACATACATTTCATTCGTAATACTAACTTATTATGCTAAAATTGTAATAAATTGCACAATAAATGCCAAGCTGACATTGTTGTCCCAGACTGTAACGAAGTAATATAAATTGACCTGTTGGAAAGATTCCAACGCCATTAGCGGCAACTGTACCGATAGAAAAAGACGAGTTTAAATATTTCCTCTATTTTATTGACGAAAAATATATATTGTATAGGTATATTATAGTAAAAAAAATACATTTTTATATCTATTCTTTAATGAAAATTCTTTAATTGCTACAGAATTCAAAAGTCTATACTATAAATTGTTAACGGGTAAAATTGGATAACTTTTCGAACGAAGTTAAAATATCATCGAATTAAAACTTTACGCAATATCCCTAAAGTAAGAAAACCTTCGAAAGTTTGGGGCTCGAACAAGTTGGATAACATATTCTGGGATTGTTAAAGATTCATAGTAATAAACCTTTTCCCTGTGGGGTTAATTCATGGGGTCATTATGTGGGTCAAGTTCGTGGTAGTTTGAATAAAGTATTATGTCGTTTTGTTGCCTTTGTTCTATATATTCATTATTTCTGGTGTATAATTAAAAGAAAATTTAAATCGTAATGTATATTGTTTTTTGATTATACAAATCCGTGACCATTGAATAGTAGTCTAATAGTATGTGATTGAAGTTTTCTGCAAAATTCATTTATGAATTTTGTAATTAGAAAAAAAAACAGTCAATTCACAAAAACTTTTACAATTTTCTCACAACTCTATCATCACTACAAGCTGTTAGAGATTGTTACGGTTTATTGTTTTTCTTACATTTATAATTTTTAAACTAATAACTACTTATTATAAAGATACTAATACTATGATCGAAATTAAAAAGAAAGCTACATAATAAACAGAATAACATATAATATAAATTCGTACCTTTTACATACGCGTATAATTTTGACAGTGCGAGCGTTGATGCTATGTAGCTCAACTCATAATGCAGTCATATAAATGCACTACAAACACTTCATAAACTAGTGATGTAGACACGTTGCACATTCTATAAGGCACGGGTTATGTCGACTTGGAACGTTAATATATATTTATTTGTAAAGTTTTACCGGTTTTTGTCACGGATTTTACGGTTAACGTGCATGCCAGACGGTGTCAGGGTGGGAACTGGCTGTGTTTACTACGCCCCGCCCGCCCTTCGACGTAGGGCAACTAAGAAATATATCTCCAGTTTGATATAAGAAATACACTTGATGGTTTTATATTGTCTTTCGTGTAGATTGAAGCTGAGAACTTTTTTATATGTATATGTAGGGCCATGATAAAATTGTTATTATATTAAATTTTACGATATGTTGAATTCATTTTATTCATAAAAATACTTTGTGATTATTTTTTAATACATATTTAAATAATAAGTATCTAATGATGTATGTATTCTTTTTGTTTTTTTTTTTTTGCTCAAAAATGTATATAATTAAAAGCATCCGTTAACAAAATCAATGATTTTTTTTATTACAAGACAACCCAAGAGTTTTCCAACAGGCTATATAAACTAATTTAAACATTAAATTTACGTTTTCTAAAAGAAATATTTACTACAAAGAAATAAATTACAATATTTTTATTAATTATAATCAATTAATTTATATATTCATTAGTCCTTCCATGATAAAACAATCGCTTTCAACTAATTATTTCACGTGTATTTACGTATAGATTCACATAGAGTAACCAGGTATAAAAGCAGAATAATTACCATAATATCTTCAGACAAATGAACAAAGTGAAAAACGAAATATTAATCTTTTCGTTCTACTATCCTATTCCATTATAGTCACAAAATTTGCTAGTACCCAAATATTTTAAATCTTTTATAACCACAGTTCTTAGAAGGAATCAATTTCAAAATATTCTCATTGTTTGTATGTGAGGATTTTGTTCTGAATTGTTTTATTATCTGTTTAAAGTTAAAACCTGCATTGTTGTGTGAACGGCGTTAGCATGAAAAAGAAATATCTGAATGAATTGCTATTAGATTCGACTTCTTAAGAGTAAACTAATTCACAGGTCTTTGCTGATTCCGTTGTAATAAATATTTAAACTACAACAAATATTTTTCAACTATTGTTGTATCAATTAGTAATCATATTTTTTTTCAGTTGTAAGAAATGTTACTTTTAGTTTCAGTATTTTAAATTATCATTTTAAATAACTATGTATGATATTAATTATCATCTTAAGTGTACGTAAAACGTATTACTGCGTCGTGCTTTGTAATTAATTAGCAAGTCCATTTAAGTTTTATGCATATTAATAAATTGATTAAAATTTTCGATGCACTAGCCTTAATGGCTGCACATTTGTGCAACACAATCGCTATTCAGATATCCCGAACGCAACAATGGATCTATGTTGTACCTATTCTAGAAGCCAAATCATGTCTGTAATTGTTTAATCGACGATCACTATCGCTAATAGCCCATTGTTTGATCGTAAGCGTCATCTAGCTGAGAGGAATATTAAACAATGGATAGCTGGCCGAATACGAAATTATTTAGTCGATTTATTATAGATTTATCATAGAAATAATTACTTTATGTTCTTTTATATTATGTAATGAGTGACTAATATCGTAATTAAATATTATTATGATGATATTAAGTCAGTGGTGGCCTAGTGGTTAAGAGGCCCGCCTCTCGTTGCCGAGGGCGCGGGTTCCAACCTGGCAAGTACCGATGTGATTTTTCGGAGTCTTATAGAAAATATCATCATTGTCATTAGGCTGATGCCTATCAGAGCCCACTGCTTAGCAAGGCCTCTTTCTCACATGGAGAAGGTTTGAGCATTAATCACCACGCTTGCTCAAGACGGGTTGGTGATTTCAAACTTATAATTGCGAAACTATAAGTCCAGGTTTCCTCACGATGTTTTCCTTCACCGTATATCAGTGATGTCTAAATACTCTCAGAAAGCACATAATCAAACTTTTTTTTGATAATAGTAATTACGTTGTATAGGAGTTTTTAAAGGATTTGTTTTAAACATCTTGACACGTGTAATATTTTATATGAATGTCGGATCGAGTGAAAATATAGAAATGAGTAACAGTTTGTGGAGTGTCTTTATCTTTTACGAATGGAGAGGATTTAAATCAAGGTCGGTCCTATATGTACATATGTATAGAACAATCAGAAAATATATGAAACATTTATCATTTATTGTATAGAAAACACTTTTATGATAATAATAGATGAAGTTGTTAATTATTTATTTTACATGTGAATAATGTAACTTCATAGTAAATAAATTCTCTCTTTCACGTAAAGTAATAATGAACACGGAACATTTTAATGAAGACTCAGTGAGTTAGAGTACATCGTGAGGAGAACGCAATCTCAATAACAATTTAGCTGGAATGAACACCCTTAGCATGTTAGGAAATAGCGCGGAGGCTTTAATATGCATACCGTTGAATAATGTAGGATCCCAACGATCTTTATCATTAGTTACGCCGAATTTTAAGCTTTGAAGCCTTTGTGTTTCTTTCAGAGGCAAAGTTAAGAAGCTTTTTTTAATTTAGTTTCGTATTTTTAACTATAATGATGGATACGTATGAGAAACAATATAAAATCCTAAAGGATATTTGTGTGTCGGCGACCAGACCAGATATACTTCTGTACTCGCGAATTTTAAGGCGCTTTGTTTTAATATATGTAGTTTAAGATTCCTTGGAAACCATCATCCTCAAAGACCATGCCACCTAGATCAAAAAGAATTAATAGCTCACTAAGAATAGATTTGTTGTAAATTTGAACGCGGTATAAATAGGTAGTACTAAAAAGTTGGGCCTGTTCAAAACTAACATCAATTCATTATTGAGTCGTACTACGAAGGCAGTCCTAGTAGGTTCGTTTCAAATTTGGTAGAGAGAGGAGCTTGGAAAGTGGAGGTGAGAATTAAAGCGCCTTAGATAGGGGCCCCTTTAACCTAAACCTGGGTCGGAAGTCCCTGGCACTGTTGAAACTTTAATCTCCTCTCCTTGCAACGCGGTGGACCTGGCACCCGCACGGTGAATCCATTGAATGCAGAGAAATTTCGTGACCTCTCTTGGCTTAATTTACAACGGAGTACTAAGTAAATACTTAAAAAAATGTGGTGTAATCAAAACACAAAATGTAAAACACTAGTTGTAACTAAAATAAATAATAAAAAGTGATTAATTTTTAAAATATAATGTGAAATCAATGTAAAGTTTCAAATATATGTTTGTATATAAAATCTATTGTCTTATTCCAAGACATAAGTGCCGACTCGTCAAGCCCTAGAAGGCTACTGAGCATGTCCACCATCACATGTTTGAGGCTCTGTTGATAAAAATATAAAATAATTAATAAAATAAAATAACTATAAGTTTTTGTATTTTCTATGAACAAAAGGAATGAACAAAAGGAATTAATAAAGATTAAAGACAATGAGAAATTGCACCAATTCAGGATTCTTCTATCATAAAGAACGTAATTAAATTGTTAAGCTTAGAACCACAATACAAGCAAAATTATATCAATATTTTTTTTTACAAAATGTTTAATGAATTACTCTGGGAAATGTCTCTTACTAATCCTCTAACCTTTGCACCTTTGATTTAAATCTTTGGATGTTGGTAAATGTATGGTAAAAGATAGAAAAAAATATATACAAAAATATCCTTTACCAGAAAGTGTTCTTCTCGTATGCCTCTCTTTCCATGAGATACTCCCAACTTATTCATCAGCGCGGCGGACACTTCGGGCTGGTGAAGATTGGTGATCGCCAGGTTTAAAGACGACATCAAATTGATGACGTGAGCCCTGAACTGGTGACTTTTATCCAATTCTTCATCACTGAGATTTCGAAAGGTTACAAAAAAGTATTTCGTTTCTGGATTCGCATGAAATAGTCTGGTGAAAAAAAATAGAGCACTTTAATATTTGAGCTTAATTTGTAAGAGTTTTGAATATAATATTTAGTTATCGCAAATAATACATAAATCTGAATAAATTTGATGATAAAATCGTTGAAAATTTTCATTTAAATCGGATGTTTTAGAAATAGGTGTCGCGTTACGAATTATCGTTGGCAACCGAACATTGATTATTTTGGCTTCACAAGTTTGAATTACAGCAGTGGTCGTTTATAATTCAACGAAGTATATTTTGTGATTTAGCCAACACGTACTGTTGAAAATTCAACTAACGATTGCTCTTTTATCTTTAAGTGTATAGATTTCTGATATATTATCAGAAATATTACCTTTTGAATAGTTCTATGCCATTTTCAGCTGCATTGCAATACACTAATGCCCAAGTTTTTTGCACTATGTATGTGTCTCGGTTAGATAAACCAGAGTAGGCATCAACAACATCCGGATCGCCACCCCACCAGATTCGACTCACGATTCCACCCATAGAGACGTAAATATTTTTTAAAATTGACTTATATCATTGAGTATGTTATTCCTTGTATTCCTCATTATTTTTCTTCATGAAAAATTCCGAAGAAGCTAGCCATTGTGCCCTTGAAGAGTAGATTACAATACTAAAGTTTTGTAGTTGTAGTTTTTTGCAAAAAAAAAAAAATATATGAACATTCCATCGTTTAAATAATCCTTCTTTATACTAAAAGTACAATACAAACACACAATACAAAAACTACCTAGGTTTAGTAATTAATGTATGTAGTTTTCATCTACTACTGTGATAATCACCTTCAGTACACGGTTTAATTATCTACTTACGTCAAAACTGATAGTCTTCACGAGTTGAATTCGTTAATTATAATCGTATAAATGCTCGTATTAACGGAACAGTCTCATTGTTACAGCCGCGTACGGTCATTTAGTAGTATTCAACGTAAAAGACTAAGTAAATAAGCTGTTTATAACTAGTATATGCCCGTGACTTCGTTCGTTTTAGTTTTTACATGAAAACTCAACAATAATAGTGGAACTTTAACGACAGCAAAGTTTGTTTTGTAAGAAGTTCTATCATACATTATTTTAGCTGTATAAGATGAAACATCGATATTTGTTTTAAATATAAAATTGAAGTATTTAATTAAAGTAATTCTTTAAAACATAAACAGGCAATAAACAGAAATATGACTGAGTTAATCGTTTACAGAGTTTCGGTACATGAAATATTACACTTATAGTTAAGTTTATTTTAGGCACATTTAGTTCTCAATATTGGTGTGAATGAAGCTATAGAAAAAACAAAAAAAAGTATATTAACATCTTAATAATAAACTAATTTATACTTACACCTTGTGTATTTATTTTTGGTTACTATATGTATACGATACTTAATGGTAATTTGTCTAAATAACAACATACACAATATAATCTTTAGTAATAATAGGTAAGTTATCAGTTAATTGCTCACACCACGTCTACTTTCACAGATTATCAAGAAACAACTAATTGTTTAGTATTTGTCAAGTGTGTCCATAATAGTTGATTGAATTAACATTTTAAAATGTCTATTAAACATAAAATTAATTTTTTCTAATGAAATATGCAGCTTGTAATAAAGTTATTAAATCTTTATTTCGAAAAAAACATATATTTCTTATGGAGTGGAAAGTATTTAGTAAGCAGACGTCTAAGGTCTTTCCCAGTGACGCTATCAAATCCATAAGGGCTAACAGCTAGAGTCAGGTCAAAACTAAAAAATGTAAATAAGATAAGATAAGATTTTGCATACTTTTCCACTGTGAAAAGAAGCCGTTAGAAAGTTTTAAATTACACTTCTGGCTATATGTCAGCAAAAGTAATTAAAATTTTGGGTAGCGACGCCACCGAGAGACGTCTTATAGAGGATAATACATATTATTTCTTTAAAATATTTAACTTAGAGACAATGGAGTCAATTATAATCAACTGTGATGAGAAATATGGTAGCAATGAATAAATAGTTCTATGTTTCTGACTTCCATTGATAAGACTAGTTTCTTAAAATCAAGCAGATCGCATCAAGGTCCGATCGTTGAAATAATTTATATACACAATGCTGTAAAGATGTGTATACAATAATAGAAGTTAAGTTAACTAGGATATACATATTATAATACATTCTAATAGGATAATTATCAATAGCAGACTTTTATGGATGTCTGACCAAATTAATGTCATTCAATATCCTATAGATACACAAAATGTATTGTCATGTTTTGTACCGGTTATTTGGCAAGCAATTTTGGTTTACCTAAAATTAACACAACAAAAAATTTAAGGAAAACTTTAATCTGTGGTTATATGTGGAACCTTATTGGGAAACTTGACAATGTAACACGGAGATACTACATCGTCTGTGTTCAACTCATTATATGTATTTACACTTACATGATAAACAAGTTATGCAGTGCTAATATCACTAATGACAGGCTTGTCCATAAAAAGATATTTGCTCCAGTAAAAATAGGATGTTTAAAAATAAACAACTATTATATTTAAACTCTGTAATTCTATATAGTAATGGATGTTGTAATAAACAAAGTGAAGACTTGGGATTTTAAAAAAAGTTCAAATTCAAATTTAAATTATTATTTGTAATTTTTTGCTATACTCGTAAAAGTACGGAATTAAAATAAAAATTTGTCAATAAATACAAAATTTTTATACGAATAATTCTAAAAAAAAGGAAAAAAATGTTGACGTAAGTGGTTTTTGAAATGACCGATTCAATTCTACTACGTTTTATACTCCAACCATCACTATTTCTAAAGCTCTTATGACCTGACCGATCCCACTTCAGCTTGCAAAACCGTTAAAATATTTAGGTTGCTTTATTTATATGAAGAATGAGTTCATTTCGGATTCATCCCTTAGATAAATTCCAAGAAATATTGTATAAGTCGATAATTATTTTGTAGTAATACTTTGCAACAAAATATTGGTCAAGAAAGTATTAAAAGAAGCTTATGTCGTATGTAAGGTAGTTTTTTCTTTACACTGTATAAACCCTGTGACACTGAAATGTGTAGCGATAACTATTTTCCTCCATAGCCAAAAGTTCTAGGATAACTTCGTGGTTTTACATACATAAATATATATAAAATTATGAATATAATTATTTGATCTTGTTTGGTGGCTCCAAAATTTGAGTCACAGGAATTATTGCTTTTTCATGCCAATGTTATAGCATAGTTAGATGCATTACATTTAATAATTTTAAATATAAAATAGTATTGATTTTTAATATATGTATATACCTAATTGATATTTAAAACAAGAGAAGAGAAAAGAAAATATCTGAAAAGGGTATTTTGAGTAAAAACAACTTTCAATTATTCAACAGTTTATTAAAAAAGTAACAATGGTAAAATTATACGTTATTTTTATATAAAAACGATAGTAAAAATATTTCAGTTTATTATAAAATAACTTTCTTGAATGGAGTTCTTATATAATAGTGATATGTTTTTCAAGAGTATATTAAACAATTTATTCAAATGCACAGTTATATCTACGTTATTAACTATCTTTGGATGATATAAAACATGTTTTTTTATGTATAATCATACACAGTAATCTATATATATGTACTATCAAATGCCGGACATACATGCTACGGTCTACTGGAAAGATCCACCCTTGCAGGCATACCTATGCCTGGGCAGATAGACCGGAAAGTGTGTGGAAATAGACCTGCACAAAACTGCACAGTTTTTATGCCACACACATCCCGGTCTACCTGCACAGGTGGATCTTTCTAGTAGACCGTAGCATGTATGGCCCGCATAAGCGACTCATAAATCGTGTTGTTTATTTAAACCATTCGAAGCAAAGGTAGTCAGTATTCAGTAAAATAAGTCCTTGTAGTCACGTCATTAAATAATTGGGAAGCAAAATAATAGCTATTGTATTGTCAATCAAACCAAAAACATAATAAATTCTGAAATTATTATGATTTTATATGAACACGTGTAATATAATTCAATGTTATTTCAAAATTCATTATTATAATTCCACTTATCATGTCTTATAAGTGGGTAAAAATTTTGTATAAAATTATAAAAGTATACCTATACATTTAAATGTATAATAACAAATTTATGTATACAAATATATGTGTATATATAAATAGAATATAAACATATATTTAAGACAGGTAGAAAATTTGTATATATGTAGTATCATTTTTGGTACGTTAAATATTGACTAAATACAAACAGCCTTAACATCTCTCAAGAATCAGGTTTTAAAGTTACGAAGATGTGTTTGTAAAGGAAGTCTACCACTTTTCCCCAGGACGTGAGAGTCTTGTTGTCGAGTTTTAAAACTTCTATGAACATTTTAACGATGACACCTTTGAGATCCTGAAGAAAAAGGCGATTAGGAAGATTTGAACCGCTTGGATTATAAAAATCACAAAAATTTACGTATATTTGGAGTAAGGTTTTAAGTTCCACACTATAGTTTGGAATTAAAGAGTTGCTATGCAGAGTTTAATAGGAAAAGAAACTGTCGTAATATATATATTTTTGGGATGCCGATGTCAATTTTCTACTTACATGGAAGTATTGCTCCTCTATTTTTCTCCTGCCGTGTGATTCGCCAAGCTTATTCATCATTGCCGCCACCACCTCCGGCTGGTCCAAATTAGTAATGGCTAGATTCAAGGAGCTCATCAGACTCATGACATGCGCCTTGAACTGATGATTAGCATCAAATTCATTTTCGTTTAATTTGCGGAGCATTCTGAAGAATTCTTTGCTTTCAGGATGCGCTCGGAAATATCTGTTCGTAAAAAAAGTTGTGTTAAGAAGATAATTAATTAGGCGTTCTTGTCTGTGGCTTTATTGGTGAGTATTTTGAAATTGGACTCAGAGAAATGTATCTATAATTTCTAAATGAAACTTACATTGTCGGATTACCATTGTTTTTTTTACACGCGTAGTAATTTGAAAATATAAGTTTTATTTAAATGAATAGTCACTTAATCCTAGATCTCACTATCTATAATGTCTGTTTAACAGTCAGTTCTTTAATAAATTATGACCTGAATCTTATTCTGATATGAAAGTGTAAAATATTATTGAAATCCTTTAAGTAATTATTGCTTGAAAGAGAGAAAAACATCCATACTTCCACACAGACTTACATATATTTTCGTTATACTATCAGTATATTACAGACGGTTTTCCTACCTTAAATATACTAAAATACATTAAATTCAAATTATGTTGTTGTAATATATATTATGTTTATTTAAGTCGTTATTGTGTATTATTTAGAAATAAATTTTCCGATTCAATGATTACGTAAAGATAAATAATAAAATAACTGAGATGTTTTTTTATTTTATTATTATAAAAAAAGGATCATTTATAAATCTAACAACAGCCGCCAAACTGAATAATCAATTGAAAAGTTTTCTTATGTTTAAATATAGAAAATTAATATTAAAATTAATTTGTTTATACTTTTAAATATAAAATATATAAAATAAAAACAAGATAGATAAGGATATAGAATTTAACTTGAGCAGAAGTACAGCAGCAGTTTTGATTAATTCGAAAGAGTAATTTCTTCAGAAAGGTTTCAACCAAATCAGGATGACGGTGTGAAGTTCTGACAATCTTTCTTGATAAGCAATGAACGAATATGGTGAACAATTTCAATACCGGTTATACTCCTCAAACCTAAAAATCAATTGGTTACTTTGCCTTAACGTAGATTCCAAAGTAATTAAAAGCAAATGCAACGCGTTTGGACTCCTTAATATATTTTAGTCTTACGATACTGATATCGTAACAAAGATTTGAATTGAAATTATTAATTTATTTGTTACCATTTGTTTACGACTGAGTTTATAAATGTGTATAATAAATTTATTTATGAATGGTATAACGTGAATGAATGATTTTATTTTCATTCCATAGTGTTAAATATCCTACTGTAAGCGAACTTTTTATAAGGATTTTCAGATTTCTACGATGGCTTCAAGCTTGGACTAAAAAGGAAAAAATGTTGAGGCAGAATCCAGAACTTAAAACTAATATTTAAAACGTAATTTCGTAAGCATCTTGGACCTTGGTACATGCTTACGAAATTAAGAGTCAAAAATAATTAAATAAAAGGAGTAATATTTTTAATAAAATTGAGATGAAACAGGATAGAATAAAATTAATATGTAATTATTAAATGCTTATTCTTTTATCAGTTGCTGATCCTAAAGGTCCCAATTATTGTCGTGTTGAAGATATTAGACAAATATCTACTACAATTTATGATTGTTTTATTAACTTAACTGAAAGTAGTGCTAAATCGAGATCAAACACTTTGATTACACGCAAACAAACATACAAGCGTAACTAATAAAACAGACACTCACATCTCGTCTGTCCGTGATCACGGTTGCTGAAAAGTAGCCGAAACGTCGGGAGTATGTTGTTTATAATCAAAAATAAAACGCAAAGTAAAATCCGAAAATATTAGTTTCATTTAAATGAATACTCGCGAAAATCTTAGATCTAATTAATAAAAGCGTGTTAAAAAAATTAGTTAAATATTAGAACTAAAATTTCATTCGCAAATATAAAATGAAAAAAACAAGTCATCCATTGTAATTGAACAGGAATGCGATAATTTGTATTGAGAGAAAGCTATAATTAACACTTTAAATTTTAATATTGTCTTCGTTTTCTTTTATCTCCAAGCTTTTAAATTTAATTTTTTGTCATATAAATGTATGTTGCAATATGACAGTTCCGTTATGATACATAATTAACTAGTTAATTAGTTAATTTGAACTAAAAAACGTAAAATTTTCCAAGATAGCACTCTGTTTTTTATCTATCTGTTTGATGTTCCAAAAATCAAAGCGTCAAAATAAACTGTTTGGTTTACACTTCAACATCTGTTGCAGCTTTAACGATGCTATGAATTAACTCACCTTATACAATAATAATATCAATATTCTGCTAATATAAGGAATATAAAAATAAACAAGCCTCTTCAAACTAAAAGCTGTGCTATTCAGAATAACATTGCTTTCGAACCCACAGAAAAACTTGAGAGAATAGTAAGTTTACTTAGAATAAATTCGCTTTGTCACGCTACATATGAATTATTTCTCTTTTTTCACTCAATAAAATATGTTTAAACTATAGTTTGCTAAGATAAACGAAGAGTAGTTACTGCTTCGTATTGTGTGACCGTACACACTTGAGGTAAGCATTCCATAATACATACATATATACGTACTTAACCATATTTTTTGTCGTTTCAAAGCTATTGGTATTTATGAGGTTTAATCGCCTATCAATGTCATGACCAGTCAAGGCGCAATCAGGAACAAAATAAAGAGCCTCTTACGCTCTACTTCATACGAGTGCAGGTAAATTGGAAATATTCCAATTAGCGATTTATTTTCAATATAATAGTTAAAAATTTAAGTATATCTATACCTAACGTAGAATGGGTTTAATTGTGTGCTATCTAGAAGACTATTATACATTTAATATATAGTATTTTATTTTTTATATCATAATAATGAATGATGTTATAATTTATGATATATTAATGATATGCTATCATAATTACTTCTTATAATAATAGTAAACAGTTATTAAAATCTAGGTAATTTTGGGCCAGTCAAAATACCTATATAAAATATATAATGTATAATTTTTGATACAAATAATATTTTCATTATCTTTGCAGTAATACATATAATCGCTGTAGGAATGTTATATTTAGTAAGTCTAAGAAAATACTTGAATTATATTTGAAGACAGATAAGATTTTAAGTTGATCAAATAAGTCTGTGGAGGCAATGCATATTTTTACGATAGTTTAAAACACTACCTAGATTATTGAGGAATTTCTGAATCAACAACAAATTATTAGCAATTATCTGCCACCAAATATTATTGGTCAATTGAGATCAAATTATGGCCTGGTTCCTATAGGTAATTGGTAGTTTTTGGACTTGCTTTCGGCATTTCTCGGTGTAAAAAAATATATTATTAAATAAACAAAACAAAAATCCACTTCAATACATACTATAATAAAAAAAATCATGTTAATCAATGTCAATATTTTGGCTTAATACAAACAAACAAATTAATTTATTGATTGACAGCTTGTTGATGTTGGTAAAAATTTTTTACACTAATAAATTACGCAGTATTTTTTAAACAGAACAAAATAAGTGAGTAAGTTTTACCTTTTCAATAGCTCGCTGCCATTTGCTTGTGGATTGGAATATACAATCGCCCAGGACTTCTGCACAGCGAACACATCTCTACGGGATAAACCAGATACAGGATTCACAGCATCCGGATCTCCTCCCCACCAGAGACGATTTAACAAACCCCCCATAACAACCTAAACAATTATAATCAGTGAATATTTATATACGTATCAGTTACCTAACAATTATAAAGATATCGGATTACTTTGCAAGTTTTATACGAATTGTGTCGTCATTTTTACAATGAATACTAGTAACGAATATCATGTTTGGTTAGTTAATAATTATCGTGAAATATAATACGCATTTTGTTAATGAAATTCTTTTAATTATTTATTTTTATTGCGTATGTTATCTTTAAATTCTGACAAGGCCATACCATTTTTAATCTTTAATTGCTAATGATGTCCAATTGATGTATACCAATAATTTGATTTAATTATATGATAGGTAATGTATTATTTTTTTTATTATATGTAAGTGAAAATAAATTAGGACTCACACAATATATGATAACACGTCCTCAACACTTGACTGTCTTTGATTAAATAACAATCATCACTGTAGCGGTTCATTGTGACTTTGACATCTGAACTTTATTATCAATAGATGTTTTCTGAGTTAATATTTGATTAATATTGACATATAGATATATTATATGCGTATAGTAGGTTTTGTAGTAGATTATTAAGGTTCCGTTTAATTAAAAACAAACAAATTATTTGTTTTTCTTTAGTGTAAACCTATTTTTTGTTTCATTCAGTTGAGTATTTAACTTTAGTCTGGTGTTCAGTAATGTGTTTGTAATGTATGTTCATACAAACATACATATATATACAAGTTTTCAGCTTTTTATAGAATATTTAGATAGACATGATTAGATATACTTGTAGATATGATTTAATAAATATTTTAATCAGTTAGCCACAAGTTATTATTTTTATGTAATATTATTTAATTTGTGGCTTGGAAATCACTCTGATAATGTTTATATTTAGAAGGCATGAACAGTGTTGCGGTTAGTTCGTATAATGAAAAAGACGGACAAATAAAAAAATGAGTAAAAAAATGTATATTTCTATAAAAAGAGCAGACAATTTTGATAACTTTAACAAGTGTATTACAATACCAATACTTATTTTTCTTATAATTACTGATTGGTGTAATTAAAATTAAACTAATTTTGATTGTGATTCAATTTAATAATCATTGAAGAGAAAAAAATAGCTTGTAGTTGTATATTACAACTTTAATCATTAAGATTGTAATAGCAAAATAGTCTTATTTACGATAAGTACTTAAAATATTATTGTCTATAATGAATGGTGATAGTTATTACCAACAAGTAGTAATGTGCTGTTTTGTTTTAGTAAATATTTATTAATTTTATTGCTCAGTAGGTTTAGTATAATATGTGTTGTGATAGAACATACGAAACTATTAACTTTACTCATTCAATAATATACATACTTCGATTTTGTAATTTGTGAAGATTTAGCATAGAAAACTCCAAACGCTAAGTATGTTTGACGTTACATACTTTTAGTAAGTGTATGGAAATAATTTTATTTCTAACTACTTTTTGACCGCGACTTCGTCCGCGTAAATTTAGGCATTTAATCCATATATGTATAGCTGACCGGGCGAAGTTTATTTCGGGCTAGAGGCCATAAATAACCAGGTATTGGAATTTATTAAGTATTTTTTTATTTTTCGATCGAACAGAATTAAAGATCCTATATCCATCTACTTTTAAGCTTGAGTTATAAATAGTGTAACTAACGCAACTTTCTTATATGTATATGTATATATATATATATATATATATATATATATATATATATATATATATATATATTTGAATACTATTTCTCTATTTGTTTCTTTCGAGGTTTAAATAACTTATGCCTCCGACGTTAGGTCAATGAATGAAGCTATTCTCAGAGTATATATTATATATAACTAGATTTAACGTGTTTCTTTTCTTGTATTTTTATTTCATTTGTAAGCTACATATATTGTAAATAGAACCCAAATTAAAGTTTCCATGGAAATCATTCATTCGTATATAGTAACAAACCAGCACACATATAGCTAAATATTCTTTTTAAATTTACAATATTTATTTCATCTATACACATAAATTTGTCAGAAATATTTTAATTAGTTACCTATTCTAGTACAGTCGTCATAATTCTTATAAACAATTTTTGCGCAGTTCCACCTGACAAGGTTATATATAATATTATAATTTAATAACTTCTATTTAGACTATTCTTTTGTTTCTGTAACAAGTTTAGAAATATGACAATTGAGCTACTACATATGTAGGGTACATATTAAGACAAAATATTTAAGTTTCTATGTTCAGGTTTTGATTGATTTTCCAGTCATCGATACCAGGTATTAACGGTCAACGACTTTTTTACATATTTTATTTATCATCAGCCTATCAGAGCCCACTGAGCAAAGGCCTCTTATTACAAGGAGAAGATTTGAGCATTAATCACCACGCATGCACAAGACGGGTTGGTGATTTCAAACTAATAATTAGAAATTATAAACCCAGGTTTCCTCACGACGTTTTCCTTCACCGTTTGTCAGTGGTGTCTAAATGCTCGTAGAAAGTATATATGACTCGGAAATATCGCATTGGTACTTGCCAGGTTTCGAAGCCGCGCCCTCATGCATGAGAGGCGAGCCTCTAACCAATAGGCCACCATGACTATACAAATTTTACAAATGTTAATTTTGAAAAATGTATTAATATCTCAAAAACCTATGTAAATCTCTCAAATATATCATCATAATCTCTCTCGACGAAATTCTCTTGGATTCTTTTTGTTGTGATGAAGAAGACATTATATATTTGGGGGATCCAAATAAATGTTAGACATGCCTGTGACTAGCTAACGTCATCATAATTAGGTCTTGATCTAGACCCTCTTTCTGTAAGTCTGAAGTCTGAAGATCGAAATAGTCAATTAAACAAAAAAGATATGACTTTGGAGACTCTACAAGCAGATTGAAATATGTTATTTTGTTTTCTTGTTTTCATAAAATAAAATTAAAACTCCGGTTTAAAACTAAGTTTAACGTTGTACATAATGACCTTTAGAATAATTGTACAAATTTTGGATATTATAGTGTCCAAAGAAAGTATTAGCTTATGTTTAATAAGCCTTTCTTGATACTTAATTTTGGTGAATAAAAAAATCGTTAAGTAACACAGTTTAAGACAAAATTAGAGATAAATTTAACTAATCCCCCAGAATAATACATTGCGGTAAAAAAATACGTTAGAATGTATTAATTAAAAAAAATTAAAGTAACATTGACTTAAGGAAAAAAGTATACTAATAAAATAATTAAATGAATAAACTGGACTTCTTTGTTTTAATAAATAATTTATAAAGAACCGTTAAGAAAATTATTGTTTTTAAACACGCGTTGAATAATCGTGTTAAAGAGATCCATGATGTTTCAGGAAATAGTGTTTGACAGGGGAGAGTCGGATATATCGTACCACTTTTCACTTTAACTCAAATATTTCGACTATAACACGTCTTATAATAATTAATACATATGTAAAATAAAGTTTCATATTTTGGCTTCCTTAGAAGAAGAGAACAGATCCTTGCGATTATTCTAACATTGTTAAAAATGCTTTTTTATAGAGGCTTCCCATCGGTACGATTTAGCCGACTCGTCGTTTTAATCGTACCACTAAGTCTTTAAATCGTACCATGGGTGTTTAAGTCGTACCACTGAATGAAAAACATTAAAATTCTCAATCAAATTATTTATTTTTAACTGTTAGGTAAGTAATAAAACAACATTATTTATATCTTTTAGGTAATAGAAACATAATTTTTAACTCTTAGGTTATATAAAGGAACTATAAGCTTTCTCAATAAAATAACATGATTATACTATGATAATGAGATCAATCAACATAACTAATAAAAATGAGAAAAAAAAACAGTAAACTATAATAATAAAGTAACAGTTAACAAGAATGTTATTTGTAATATACCTAATTATTGTGCATATTTCTTAATGGAAACAATCATGACAAATGTCTGGATTCGAAGTACATGTCTCATGTAGCCACCGTTTACAGCGAACGCATTGAATCCAATCAACTTTTGGACCCTTCTTATCGTAGTAACTAGTAAGAATTTTGTTTTTGGCCTTGGGTAGTACTTACTATACGTACTTGCGGTAGTACTACAGGTACTTGCGGTTGGTAGTAGGGTAAATCGTACCAGTACAATTTAACCAACTGCAAGTGGTACGATTAAACCAACTAAGGCATTTCTAAAACTAAAGCAAATATCCGGCATAAACTCAAAACTTAGACACCCAACAAAAACCCCCAATAATCTAGTATACAATTGTGGAATAATAAAAAAAAATGAATAACTATAGCTTACCTTGATTACGAGTTATCTCCTTATGAATATACGACAATATTTATATTAAGACCTACAAAAAATGTTTTTCTTTTATTACGTGAACAGTTGTTAACTCACGTCGATTTAAACTAGTGGGTGAAGAGGGATGGTGCAGGGCCACGATTTGGTGGTGTCAGTGTAGAAAAAAATATTCATTAAATGGGAAATTTAGAAGTGGTACGATTTAAATGCTAGTACGATATAACCAACTCTCCCCTATATACTCATAATTGTTTTATTTTTATGATTTGTAATATTCTGGTTATATTTAGCAGCGATATCTATATTCTACTTAAACAGACTTTATACATAATACAACTCTTATCTCGGATGAAATGAAAAGAAGTTTTGAGATATATGCCTATGTCTTATTGTGATGTGTAAGGTACATTACTGTAGAGTTTAATCAAAATCCGTTTAGTAGTTTGTACTATCAAGAGCAACAAACATTCATACTCCACGGACTTTCGCTTTTCTAATATAAGTAGGATAAGCGAATTGAATTTTGTTTGAATGGAATTAACATAAGCTTATTAAAATGTATGCATATTTTTATACTACGTATTTAAATTATTTTGACTTACAGTATTTCCTTTTTTTATTGACAGAGAGTTATATATCACATCGTTTCTATACTGAAAAAATTGTTAGTTTATTTGTTAGCATTATTAATGTATGTATGTATAACATTATTCAAGGAATTTCTTCATAATTACTATTAATATAATAAATGAAAAATTCTAGTTTTATTTAAGTATTCTGCAAAGTCAATTGCGATCACAAACAGTTGGGACCGAGTCGTCTTGTAAATATTTGATTACACTACAAAGGTGTATTTGGGCTAAGTGGGTCATTCTGTTTGGCTATAAATTGAAATTAGATGGGCTCAGTCTAGTAATCAGGGGAATAACTTTAGGAATGTCGTTGAATATGATCATAAAATTTTATATTTATTTAAACATGGAACGAAATGATTATCATTTTTTTTATTATTCGCATTGCAATTTTTTTTAAGAAAAAAGTATAAACGAAAGAGGTTTTATTGATGAGAATATATAAAAAAGGTTTGTAAAAAAAAAAATATTAATGTAAATATAACAAAATATATATACCTACTTACCTCAAAAATATATCGTATGAGAACAATAACATAAAAATAAAACACAAAAACACGTGTGTTGTGTCACTTTGACGGTTTAGCACTGACTTTAAATATATTTATTGCAATTAGGACAAGCGAATTGAACATTTTATAAAAATAAAAACACACAGAGTCCTGTAAAGACGGCATTAAATATAAAAACATATGAAAAATCCAGTTATTTGTATCATTAAGATCGTAGTAAAGTATTGGAATGTTATTTAATACAATAAAGATATACATTTATATACAGTACATATATACGTATGTATGTATGTATGCATATATTGAGATACTAAACGAGTTACGAAGTTTGAAGTCAAATGTACGTTGACCTTTACGACATGTTTGACCCTAAAACAACAGATTCAATACTTTAGTGTACTTTTCAAAAAATTAAAAGCTGAATACATAAAGTCAATTCATAAAATTTAAAAAGAACGTCTAAATAAAATTAATCTATTATTTAAATATAGAAATATGTACTAATAGTTCATGTTAATAAAAACTATGACACCGGAGAATTAGCGAAAATATGTTAAGACAAATAAAACAAAATAAACAAAGCGTCGCTAATAGCTTAAATTAAATAAAAACAGCAAATATAAGAAAAAAAATGATTTAATTATACAAATAATATCAAATTAAATAACATATTGAATTTCTTCATACAAAATTCATCCTTGTTTGCATCGCGTTGCGCAATGTAACCATGAATCATCTTAATACATTTATATAAAAAAACAAGAACAATTAACATTCCAATTATAAAATTATTATTTTACACAATAATGACATATGATACACAATGTTCCAACATAAGGGAAATAATTGGAGACAAATCAATAGTGGTTTTTACTCAAGGCCAAATATTTGTAATTCTTTGTTTGGCAACATACATGACCGTTGACTTGACTTTTATACGAATAAAAAATGGACAAATGCAAGTCACATTTGACTTAATAAAAACATAAAGCAGTGGCTGTTTAATTGCAGCGATATTTTTAATAGGAAACGAAAAAACAGTAATGAAGAACGTTGTTATAGAATAACTTTTATAAATAGATGTTTGTTAGTTTACCAATAACAAAACACGTAGTTATTACATAGAGGTAAATACCCGAGTTTTTCATTTATTTAATATTATTATATTGGTTCTTGTTTATAAACATCAATAGTAATTGGCTCGCGAATTTTAATTTTTTTTTCTCATTATTCCAAATAAAGGTGTCATGTTCAATAATCCTTGTTTGTTTAATAAAAATAAAAAAGGAATAAAAATAATAATTGTTCGTTTTTCGCCAATTGAAGTAATTAGGGAACCCTAAAAATGAATTTTATTTTTATCAATATCTTGTTGTTTGTCGATAATCAAACAAAAATAATTAATTTTATTTAAAGTAGTAAAAGCAAAATATTACTATTTCAAATCCTATAAGTATATTCTATACGTACATCCAATACATTCTCAAAATTTTTTTTTTTTCGGTGAAACAAGACCGAAGTTTTTTTCTTGTAAACTATTGGTATAGTCTTAGTTTTTATCTAGGCTACATACTCTTTGTGAATCTAAAACTAGTTGAAATCCATTTAGCCCAATAGCGACACAAAATTTAAATGCTGCTTTACTTACCAACTTTCATTTCTTATACAACGTAAGTTAGAATTGGAACATTTGTGAAATGATTAAATAAAGAAACCAGGATGAATAACGTAAAGTATAATATCCTATATCAAATTTACATTTGAATTCTTTATAATGGACCTGGTTTTTACGTCTTTTGTTATTTTTGCGCTTTGATATTTATTTTTTAAATACATATTCGCTCTCCTATTTAAAATCACTTAACTTACAATTAGTCCAAAGACTTCACAAAACAAGTATTTTAAGCCTTTCATAATAAGATTTTTACAGGTAAAATCAATTATTTTTTTAAAACGTAATGACATAGGTATTTATCATAGGTAATGACCTCAATTGGAAAGTTTTTGAACGCAACACAGTCTTAACACTAAGTCTGTAGCCTCTACTGAGATAGAGATATTATATTGATCAATTCAAATATATAAATGTATTTCAATAAAGTTATATTTGTGAAAGATTGACAGTTTTAAACAAAAACTACACATAGATGATAATAATATAGTTATGAAAGGAAAAAGGATAACAACTTAAAAGGGTAGATTAATTTAGCAGAAGAAATCGAGTTAAGCATATATAAAAAACATTCTGTTAATATTAAAAATATTTTGTAGAGATAATTGTATATTAATGTTACACTTCTTATAGGAGGGTAAACCGCTTCGTAAGGTAACACGTAACAAATAGTTCGTTAATTAAATAATTAAAGGAAAGGGAAAAATAGTTATTTAATTAATTAGATAATTAAAGGATATTATTATGAGGTTACAATTTTTAAAAATATCTCCATGACACATCTGAACGGTTAATATTGTCATCAGCCTATCAGAGCCCACTGCTGAGCAAGACCTCTTTCTCACATGGAGAAGGTTTGAGCATTAATCACCACGCTTGCTCAAGACGGGTTGGTGATTTCAAACTTATAATTGTGAAACTATAAGTCCAGGTTTCCTCACGATGTTTTCCTTCACCGGTTAATATTAATTAAGTTAAATTATTTATAGTGCCTATTCGAAAAAAAATAAGGAATTATTAAATTTTCAATGTTCATAACACAAAGCTAAGATCTTACAGAATAATGTACTGACATTATAATAATTAATTTCAAATGAGGCTTATTTTAGAAATTGTAATTAACAGAAAAAACTTATTAAACTGTTATATCTTCTTATTATTTTTATACGAATTATTTTATTTAATTAAAATCCTTAATGTCGCTCAAGTAAGTGTTCGTTAAATTATATTTTACTTTTATTATGAACTAAAACACAAGACTGCTGACTACACTAACAAATTAGTAAAATATTCACTTAAATGAAAAAACTGAAATATAGCAAAGCTTCGCGGTAAGTCCCACCCCTCACCTCCTGTGACGTTGTCAAACTTCAAAGTCAATAAGTCAAACAGATAGAGTAATATAGTACATACTTATAAAATCTTAAATTCTAGTGAAGTATATCATATTCAATTACTTAATCTCTGTACATATATATTAAGCTGTATAAATATACATATTCAATAGTTATCATCTTTTACATTCATTTATTCGTATATTTTTTATGATTGCTTTACAAATATAAATTAAAAATCCGAATTTGACATTTAAAGATTATTATAACTGCCCATTATCACTTTCGTAAATAAGACCAGCGTTATCTCTCTACCTAAAATATATCCAGCTGTTATGACTCTGAGGCGTGTAAGATAATCTCCGGGAATCCTTCAAAGTCTATTGTTAAAAATCTAAACAGACTAAAAAGAAAATACTCAAGTCACTCCAATATCATCGTCATCCTTTATTTGTTTGATCTCATCCTCTGAAGATGAGCAATGTTTTTGTTTCAGAGTATTTTAGTTGGCCATTTTTGCTTTTGTGGATTAATTAATTTAAAAAAAGAAAATTAGTTATATATTAGTCTTACATTCAATTTGTTGAAACGCAATGTTTAACAAGATTATCAATTCCTAAGTTAGCCACTTTATATTATAAAGTCTATATTCATTCTTTTAAAACATTCACTAGTGAATCAGTCAATAACAACAAGATGTAAAATTTTTGGTTTTAATATCAGCGCTTTTGTCTTAGCTTTACAAGACAAATTTTTGTTGTGCTGTGAATTGTGCCACCTTGACAGGCGCTTTATTTTGACTTTGACATTGACAAGAGCTCGGAGCTGTCGTCTGTCATTAAAGTCGCGTGTACGTTTTTCTACAATACATTTTTATTATTTAACAAAATATTATAGACTGTAAAATGGTGAATATAAATATAGCTGCTTTAGAAAACATTGGCAAAGTATTAAATGATCCTAAAAGACCTATGAAAGAGAGATTTCGTGCTCTGTTTACACTGCGAAACTTAGGTGGGGAAATTGCCATAAAATGCATCAGTGAGTGTTTTCAGGATGAATCAGTGCTGTTAAAACATGAGTTAGCTTATTGTCTTGGTCAAATGCAGGATAAAAATGCCATACCCATACTAAGAAGCGTATTAGAAGACAAAACTCAGGATCCTATCGTACGACATGAAGCCGGTAATGAATGCTTATTTCTTATCATTTGTGAAGAAATATTCATGTTTTCCACACATCCTACGTTAAACAATTCATCCTATTAATGTTATAGATTACTTCTTAACAATCAATCTTTGTGTTTTATGAGACATAATTTATTAAACACACTTATAAAGTTTTACCACTTCTTTATATTTTAATATGCATCATTGTCATGTTTATCTAAATAATATTCCAGGTGAAGCTCTGGGAGCAATTGGGGATCCAGATCTTAAGATGCTGTTAGAGAAATACCAACATGACCCAGCAATAGAAGTTGCAGAAACATGTCAAATAGCCCTTCAGAGGCTAAATTGGGTGGCCAATAAGGCTTCAGAAGACAGAAATTTATCCAAAAGTAGATATGAGTCTATAGACCCTGCACCTCCCAGTGTTGAAGATAATGTGGAAAAGTTGCAGCAAACTATGATGGATGAGAGTAAACCATTGTTTGATAGATACAGAGCAATGTTTAGTTTGCGAAATTTGGGAACTACTGAGAGTATTAATGCTTTGGGTCAAGGTAAATAAATAATACAGAGTTTTATTAATTTAGTACCTATTAAACAATACTGTATATATAAATTATGTATATATGTATACAGTGTACACTCTTTACAATGAAACTCAAGGGACTGAGCATTTTTTGATGTTATAGAGAGTTATCATTATATGAAGTGATAAAAAAAACAACCAAATTAACAAGAATTTTCAATAAGTATACAGGGTGACTGGTGAATTGACAAAATTTCTGTATAAATAAGTAAAGTGTTGACATGTTCCAAGTGTTCCAAGTGTGGACGCCTGCGGCGACGTGCTGATACAACACCACGTCACGACACGCGTATGTGTGAGTGTCAGTGTATACCTAATCTGTAGGGTATTCACACGATGCGTAATTAATTACATAACTTTTGGTTAACTTTACTTAGAAGTTTATTAATATTTATGTCATATTAATTTTTATTTTGTCATATATGATCGTCAAATATCACGTCCTCAAATATCGATAGTAATTCACCAGTCACCCTGTATATCTTAGATAATAAATGCTTACAAATTATTGTTTACACATAATCTGATAACTTTTTTGACGCTTTTTGCTATGCAAGTACTTGTTTTGAATTATTTTATGTATTCTATTCATATCTAGATATGTGGTGGAATCGTCTTGATTAATCATTGATATTATTTAAACACCAAAAACTTTTCTACCAACTTAGCGGCATCTAGGGCTTGTTGAATTACTAAATACCGATAATAAATCTTTACTGTCTAAAAATATGAACACATTTCTAAGTAATAGAGAATGACATATTGTTATAAAAGTGTTTCAATATGTGGATTTTAACACAAACCACCCAAGTGAGGCTCACTTCAAAGTTAAAGGGAATTTATTGTTATAGAGGAAAACATTATAAAGAGTATACACTATATATACATTTAATTTCATAAAAGCCATTAATTTCACATAAAGATGCATCATGTTTTGCCAGTCCATGCTAATTAAAATATATTTATTGATACTATATGAATCCAATACAAGATAAATCATTATTTGGTTTAAGGTTTTAAAGCAAGTAGTGCATTGTTCCGTCACGAAGTAGCATTCATATTTGGTCAGATGCAAGACGAGCGTAGTGTGCCATACCTCAAACAAACTCTAGAGGATGTTACCGAGCATGAGATGGTTAGACATGAAGCCGCAGAAGCCCTTGGATCTATAGCAACAGATGAATGTACTGAAGTACTTAAAAAGTAAGATTCTTCAATAAATTTAAATGTATTAAACCTTTTTGAAGGATCTGTCATGTGAATTTTTTTTTGTACTTTAATGAAATGCATTAAAACGTTATTGGACATCTAATTATCTTTATGCTAAATCTGTCACTTATCAAATTTTACTATTTATCTAGATGTTTGGTTAACTTACTAATTGCAATTAGTTTTCTGTTAATCAGAACAATTGAATTTCAGGCATAAGTTTCAAATTATCATACTGCTGTTTAGGGCATATAAAATATTGTTATTCTGTTATTAAAGCAGGGGTTCCCGAACTTATTTTATATAGTATCAAGTATAAAATGTTTTTTGCGAAGCATTTTTTTCACCTACTGAAAAACTATAAGTTATCTAGCTAAATTAATGAGATCTAAGATTTTCGAGAGTACTCATTTAAATGAAACTAATATTTTCGGATTCAGTACGCGTTTTTTTATTTTTGACTAGACAGAATAGGCAGAAGAAATGTCCGTGATCACGGTTGCTGTAAAGTAGCCGAAACGTCGGGTATGTAGTTTATAGTCCAAAATAAAAAAAAACGTAGTAAATCCGAAGATATTAGTTTCATCTAGCTAAATTTAATTGTAAATCGCCTCTGAGGCTCCTATATAATGCTCCCACTTTTTTTTTTGTTTTTCTTACCACCCTCGTTTAGTCGTCTAGTTTTGTAGTTTTGTCTAGTCAACTAGTTTTGTCGTCTTCTTTGGGAAATCCTGACCTTAATTCTCATATGTTTCAGATACTTGAATGATCCTCGTCCGGTTGTGAGGGAGAGTTGTGAAGTGGCATTGGATATGTCGGAGTATGAGAACAGTCCAGAGTTCCAATACGCAAACACATTACTAACAGTACAGAGCTAGGATTATAATACGGCAAACATTGTTACAGATTTTGAATAATATTATAAAGTATTTTATTTATAAATGTTTCTTTATTGTTTTTTTTTATACAAAGAGGATCTTAAAGTAATTTGTGGCCTTACTAAGTAAAATACATTGGCTTAATAAGAGTTTTTCTAGCTTTGCCAAAAATAGATATATTAATTTTCTTTTATGTACTCTAAGAGAAAAAATAAATATTTTATACTTTAATAAACATTCCCATTACATTTCTATTATAATTACGAAATGAATCCATTTTAAGATATGAGTTTTTCTTCATTGTATGGATAATCTGTTGGAAAAATAAATATAAATGCTGCTTATGTCTGAAAACAAGAAAGAAGTGGAAACAAGACTTGTGCTAGAATTATATGAATTTTTATATTGGAAAGTTTATTTATACTTATATAATATTACAAATAAAGCAATAAGCATCAGTTCGCCGTTATTATTAAAATGCGGCGAATTATTTATGTCATATTAACTCTTATCAAAAACCTCTATGCAAAAAATACAGCGTATTTGCATTTTAAATTCTAACATAACAGATAGGTCATAATCCTACTAGGGAATGGGATTTTTAAGTATTCAAGAGTCAGACTCGCTTTTTCTGGATAAAGTCATTGCATTTTTTTACATTTCTTAGAAATCTTACCTTTTTTGAGAACAGTTTTGTTATTTTATGTCTATTTTGTATCGACAATATCACTCATTACGAACTAGTAGCGCCATCTAGTGTAAAATATGTTAGTCTGTGTGGGTATGTTGGTTTTTAAAATAAAGATAAGTTCTTGTCTGTCAATCACGCGTTTAATTTATTAGAAGTTTGGACTTTTTTCACTTATTCCTAAATCCTACAAGTGTACCAAAATTCAAGTCCTTCGGATTTTTTTTGTTTTAATTTTCTGTTGTTTATTGAAAGTGTTTAAACTAAATGAACATTTAATTATATAATGACATGACATTTAATTATATATTATACATATATCAAATAATAAATTTATTTCAAAGTATTTTAGTAGTGTGAAGTTTTCTACAATCCATGTGTGGTATGTGTACTTAGGTTTCAACATCAACCACTTCGTTATTTGGCCAGGAGGTATATGAATGAAGATTCCAGAAATCATGAACTGACAATTGTGATTGAAATAATTAATAAGAAGTCGTCACATAAAACAATTTTCCGAAGTAATTAAAACAAATTTGGGAAGTAGATAAAGATGTCAGATTTGTCTTGCTTATAAGCAAGTTTTTGTAAGTACATTTGCACTAACTCTTAAAAATGAGAATGAAAATACTTTTACATCAATTTAAGAAAAAAACGAAAGAAAAAGTGTTAGGTGGTTGCAATTATTTAACGCCTGGGATTCTGATGAGGATCAGAAATGTATAGGTTTATGACTACACCGCAAAACCTCGAGATACAGTTAGCGCATTCAAAGAGCATACAGAGCAGTAAGAGAGATAATTAAGAAATCCTAAGATATAGATTATAAAGAATAAGACTAAGTGGCAGAGTAACATCTCGTCTGCTTGTACTCACGATTGCCAGATAATAACCAATATTTCGGGAAAATATAATAATAAAACCGCGTAGTATATTATGTGAAAAACATGGTTATATTTTAAATCTTTTCTGACACTCCTAAATTATTTTTCTTAACGCATAATGTAAGTTTGGCTTGAGCTAAGTCTCCTGTTTTTTCTAGTGTTATAGTATAATATGGTATTATTAGTATGTACAATGACCCAAAATTCTGTATTTTTTATGCTAAAGAGGGAAAACGAGCACACGGGCCACCTGATGGAGGTAGATGCGGTGCCAACTTTGATTGGGGAAAAGGATAAGGCAGAAGTAGGCGCTCTGACTTATCCGACAAAACACAGCGATTTAAGACTACTTCACGTCCATCTTTGTGAAAGTGGTACTTCCCCAGTCGATCCAACCCATGTTCTAGCTGCAGTAACTTGAACACAGCTGTGCTCCAACACTAGATACTTTTTTCCTATATTGAATTTTTACGTCCTGAATTTTGGATATAACTTTAAAAACATTTTCATCAAATGGTATGACACTTCGGGGAAAATATATGTATATTTACCGAGTATAGAATTTCGTAGAATCATATAAAAATAACTCATATATTGTAGCCATTTGATATTTCATAAATATTTTTCCCCGAATACATTCTTGGTTATGTTTACTTAATTTTTTGTTTTATTTACTGTTCTATTAAACACAGTGGTTAAAGATATAAACTCCGAAATCATCTCCACCCAACCAGCGTGTTAGACGTTGAATTAGCATTAGTGGATGTCAAACCAGTCATTTGTGACTCCAAAACCGTTAGGTCAACATTAAATCAGGGTTTTGGTGTATTGTGTTATGCATACATTAATACAGTTAACATTAAAGTACATATATCCGTTTTTTTTAATGAGACCCAACTCTTATAACCTAAGAAAATAGTGGTTTATATATAGGTTATTATGTTGAAATGTACCATTGTACATAATATAACTTTGTACCTATTCATTTCCAGTTTTGCTTTTTAACAAAAAACCAAGTTAGTTTCTAGCAAAAAATCATGTTAAAAAGCAAAGAAAAAAGAAGTTTGATTTGATCTTTGTAAGAAGTAACAAGGTTTTTCTTATAAGAACCAATAAAAAGTTATTAATTTTAATAATTTACTTAAATTATTATCAACAAGTTCTCTATGTATTACTTCAATTACGGCGACGCCATTCTTTTTAAAAATAAATTATTTATAATATATAACTTCGACATCAGAAGTGAAATAAAGCCTTTACGTTAGTCTTAAGCATGTTTTTGTTAATGTCGCTATAGTTTTTGGAAATACTTACTACGCAACATGACGAGATCTAAGTGTCTGTTATAACATTTAATGTAAAGGAACCGATACCCTGGCTATAATACAATAAATTACTTAATTACCTAGTATTTTTGAAATTTTCGCGAGTACTCAAAAATGTACTCGCCTAAATCTTAGATATTATTATTGTAAGGTTTCATCAAAATCCGTCCACTAGTGTATTTATGAGTATTAAACATTTATACATATAAAAAACATTACAAACATTAAATTACAATATTAATAGACACTTCGCTTTATCCTTAAAATACTACGCAGAAATTTTAAATTGAATCTGTGTCAACTACACGGATACAGCAAATTTAAAAAATCCTCCATCAGAACGAATAAATAGAAAATGAGAAAAATTACTTTGGAAACTCAATGCTTTCGATTCAACCGATTTATTAGTTAGATTTATAAATAATAAATTCCACAAACGAATCTGTATTTCTCAATACAATTTTATTTCTGTCCATTTCCTTGATATCAATTTCATTATCAAGCCAACTCTGTTGTTTTTTTTTTATTATTTTGCACTCAATTCTTTCCGAGGAAAAATGTGCAGTGTTATCGTTTTACGTCCATGCTTTAATAAAAGCGTATCATAAATATTGTGAAATGCAAAATAGTTTTCCGTAACGGGTGCAATGTTGCGTACTTCAAAGAATAATATTATTTGCCCTGTGTTTATTATTATATTTCATCATGTGGTATGTTTTTTTGTTATGTCTTTAGAATAAAATATTAAGATAAAGTATGTAGGTACTTAAATAACTCGGAAAAATCCTACATATATCGATACTATTTATACAATAAATTATTATCAAAATTAGGCCGTCATTAGATTGGAGGTTACATTTTGTAGTGTAGGTACTTTTACAAGAAAGATTTTTTCTTTTAACATGAGTTCAGATGTTTCATTAAAATATAGTTAATAGTTTAATTAAAGTATAAATAAAGTGAGCGAGTAACTTGGATTAAAGTAAAGTTTATATACCATTTATGAGCATATTGTTGTGTTATATGTATGAAATGTCCTCTCACAGACGATAGATGGCGTTAGCCGTTGGTTACGATATCATTTCAATTGCATACTATTTTCTATTTTACGGTTTTCTGAAATCTACTGGGACGAAACCAAGGACAAAACCTAGTATATAATTAAAAAAAAAAGCCCTACATAAAATGTATTAATCCTTCGTATTTTGAATGTTGGTAGTGTATAATTGTGTCTGGTACAGTAAAAACATTTACAGATCAGTAAATTTTTTTGTTACTTAATTAATCTTTATTAACAGTCATCTACAATACTGGATTCAGAACAATCATCGTTTTTCGGTCTCACTCACGAAGTTAACATCAGCCCCAGTAGTATTGAGCTGATGGAACAACTGACAGATGAAGTGTTCGACCGCTCAAGAGGAGATCGTCGTGTGCGTAGATATTTTGATGCCTACGACACTCCCTTCATTGGATCCGGCAGAAGAACTAATTATAACTCTAGTTACTATGACTAGTTAGATTGATATGTTAAGATATTAATGCGTTAATAAAATTTATAAAACAGAATTTAGATTTTTCATATAATATAATACTTATACATGAATAAAAGTTAGTGTTTATGGGTAAAATAAGCAAAAAAAACCCAAATATCACTACACTCGTAATTTAATTTTGTGTCGTCAAATTGAAGACAATTTAATCCATTCATTCATTTGGAGAATGTGCGAAAATTATTATTGAGGATTTCAATGAGAATTTTTTTTTAAATACATTCAATCCATTTAAATCCAAACAGATTTTTCTTTAAATATTTTTTAAGTTATACTGTATTGAAGCATCTACCATATTGTTAGGAATATGAGAGTGGAAATGAAAAATGTTATGCGATAGTACGTATAGCAAGCGCCTTCAATGATTAAACGCTGTAGCTTAGGTTTAGGTGTCTAGACGGACAAATTCATAGAAATATGCTGTAAATCATAACGTGGAGCTTGTTGAAGATATTTTTAAATCATCCTCACTTTAGATACTGGTACCAAAATGAAAGTCTCAAGATAAATGACTAATTATTCAATTTTGGTTTTAAAACGTAAGCAATACTTTCAAACAATACTTTCTTAGACCAACAAAAATACCAAAATAGCTGTAAAGACCGCAAATATAAGTTTTGATTTACAGACTCTCAATGGGAAATTAATTAATATTTATGATAGTTACAAACATTAAGGTTGCAGGTTGCAGGTGTAACTGCGTAGTTTCAACCACTAATGTTCTTCCAGAATCACAATAACGATCTAAAGTTTCTCTCCGGTGGTAAAATTATTACATCCACTCATGTACTCATAAGAATTTCTAGTGTATTATACATGGGCATGTATTAAAAATTTACACACTATAGAAATAAATTAAAAAGAAACATTAAAGCTTTTCCATCGTAAAGTATGATGAAATGGAAATATAAATAAAAAAGCCAATGTATTGAAAGGCAAATAAGCCTTTTTATCTCGAAGCACTTTAATATCCTCTAGTGTTAACATATTCCCATCTTTTATTCGTCCTTTACCGCTTCGTTGCTATAAAATAATTTTAAATGGAAACACACAGTTACGAATTACGTCGAGCGTTATAAAATCTGTAGTACAACTGTATTGCCTGTAAATATGCTAGTTATTGTATGAAATAATAAAATTATGATATTAAATTATACAATTTGTTGATCAAATATTTGAGATTTATGTCTTAGGTAGTTATTTTTGGACGTGTGTATGTCTCCTTTCTTTATTCCGTGCCGTCGGACCGCAATTGATCTGGTTTAAGTTATAACTCACATGCCATTAGCAATAAATAGGAATGCTTTATATAACAGAAATTAAGTACTTAAAAATATCATTTAAAAATTTTGCTGGCTTATACTATTCTTTCTGACGAACAAAAATGTTATTCCGTTGATTTCGTTCGTTTTTGTTTGTTTTGAATAATAATTGCCCTAACATTCCTTTAATATATTATTTATATAAAGGATTCTCACAAAGATTTAAATGGATACCATCACATTTAGCAACTTGTGATTTTTTCATAGATTCAGTTTTTTTCGAAAACCCATATCTCATGTGTTTTTAAAGAACAAAATAGCTATTCTTTATTTGAAGGCTTGCTCTTTAAATTGTTGTGTGAGAATTGTTTCTTTGTTATAATTTTCTGTTCTTTAATATCAGTTACATTGTTTGGTATTCCCGCAGTAACCTTTCAAATTGGATTTGAACAAATATTGAAAACAAAATCAGGGCGCTATTGGAAATGTAACGATTTAATCAAAGCGAAATTTTATTTAAAATTCTCAATCCCAGTATAAAAGCACTTCGAAGGAAGGTTTTCGCATTTTCCAATATGAAACGCTCTGCAAACTTTTAAGAAGGCTTTAATACAAGATTTAACATTATTGGCACAGTTATTTCTATGTCTACCACTTTGTTTCAGTTCGAGTGGAATAATTTAAAGGTATATTTTATTATTTGATTGAATTTAACTTCTTTTGAATTTTGAATTTAAGAAATGTCCGATCGCTTTTGGATTGTACTGATTAATTATTAATATAGTGACATGTAAAATTGGAAGTATTTTAAATAGGGAAGTGTTGACGAGATTTCTAAAATCATTGTATGAAAGTGATATTACAAATAATAAATATTCACGATCTATAGAAAAAATATAGAACTGGGTATTTGAAAAAAAAAATGGGTATTTAGTGCAAAAAAAACATTTTTTTAAGACGTCTTAAAGTTAAGCATTTAATAAAGGTACACTGTATTTATGATAATTTTTCAATCAACCGTAATGAGAGAAATCGGGATTGTTCGGGAGCGGACTCAAAAACTTATTTTTATTTTGAATTAACTTCACAATTATTGCGAGAAATATAAAATAATCATAGTATAAATAACAACTTATATATAATCTTTGGATTCATCACAATTTTTTTGGAAAACCAAATCGAGAATGTACTATGTATATTGTTTATGTACGATGACAGGAAGTGTAATTAATACAGTTTTTATAATGACAATAGAACTGGTAATTGTAATATAAATCTACATAATACGATCGATAATACTATCCTTATTACTAGTTATGATTAAATGAAATACTGACGGTATTAACGTTCCCACTGTATAGAATAATAATACTCGTAAATTATTTCTACTTCAAGTATTATAGTTCCTATTTTTGGTACGCAAATGGATTTGTTTTCAAACAAATTGTAGGGTCATGTATAATCGCAGTGTAAGCAAATTCAGTGATTCGAGAAAATATTTAACGCTCTGAGACGTCGCCTTTATCAAAATCACATGTAAACATATTATTGTAATATAAAGATTTGACACTGAGAAATAAATAAAAAACTTTCCTCTACATACAAATGATTTAACGCTTAATAAGCTAATGCCTTTATTATTTATAGTGGACTGTTGTTATAGACAATGTATAGTCGTTTTGGTATTCTGAGTATCATATATTTTGATCTAAGAAATAATAAGAAATAATTGAAACAACGAATGAATGAATGAATGAACGTTTATAAGTATTGAAATGATTATTAGAACTGAATTACATTTCATTATGAACAGACCATGTTAGTATTATAAGCGGGTAACAATTCATTTTGTTCTTGACTTGTTTCATGATTTGTTTTAGCGTAAGTTAAGTATTTCCCTATACATATGAATGATTTTTGTTCCGATTTATTCTATTAAAATTACATCTAGTATAAAGTTTATGAGCTATTTATATTAATTGTGTAAATCGTTATAGTTCAGTATTCATTTAGAATGACTTTTTTCAACGAGTACACTTCATAGTGATAATATACACTCAAAATCATTGTTGGTTTATGAATTGTATAAATATACTGCTTTAACTTTTTTACAAAAGCAATTGGAACGTGAATTTAAAGGAAGTTGTTAAGTATTTGAAAATGTATAAATATAATATTCATTTTAAGTTTTATTTATAGTTATATATCTGCGACATGTTTTTTATAGCGGCATTCAATTTTTACTACGCTTTATATTTATAAGGATATCGGTAATATATAAATATAAACATAGCATACAATCATCGTTTTCCCATTGCTTTACCAAATAATCTATATTGTCTAAAGCAAGTAGAATATAATATTCCAGAGGTTGTGATGTCTAAATTACGCGTGCCGACGAATTTTTCCTTCTATATTTTCTACATCAATTTCATGCAGGTTTCAACATTGTTTTTATGTTTTTAAAATAACTAAGCTGAATTGTGATAACTCCAGAATTCGTTGCTAGTTGGCTCCTTTGTATGCAGATTTCTGGCTCGTTGCATTTGTAAATATCCCGTACGGTACTCCACGTTGTATGTAAAAGTTTGTAAAAATAACGTTTCGAATACGGGTTCATAATTAATTTGAAATCTTGCACAAGAATTTATTACTCTCTTTTACATAATTATATCAAAATGAATATAAAAATGAGCTTAATTTACCTATTAGTATGCCTACTTCAAGTTTGCATTTGGACGGCTATATACATTGCTTCCCCTTTTCTTATTCATAACCAGTGGCGGCCGGTGGGTAATCGAACCGGTGGTGCACTTTACTAAAATATTAAAATTAGAAAATGCAACAAAACAATATAACGAGATGTTAATCACGGCTCAATTCGTCATACATCGGGTGCTCTCGGTAATGTTCGGCCGCTCGTGCGGCGCTCGAGGACCGACTCAATTCTCGGTACATTTCTATGAACTATCTTTTGTTTTACGCGTCAGGCGTATTAATGCGTATCTCATACAAGATGTATTAGCAGTCCTCGTGCACTCGCCGAAGCGCACGAGATATTAGTTTAGTAAAGCGCTCAAACTTTTTGACTATAATTAGAAATTTAATTTTTTATACGTTTTTGTACGTTTAGAAAATAAATATTAAAATGGTAATTTAAAAATAAAGATGAAGTAATATTTTGTAATTTTTAAATCTTTTGAATTGGTGGTTCAGCGCACGAGTGCACTTAAGGTACAGCCGCCACTGTTCATAACTAAAGAATATTTTAGTTTGCAGATTTATGAATGAAATTTGTTAACGTTTCATTTTTAGTCTAACAATATTATCTTAGGGTAAACATAAACATAATGATTATTATTTTATAGTAATAATTATTATAAAAAACATGGACTTCATTGACATATTAATTCTGGAAGGTAATTTGTAATCATTTTTGTTATATGCAAATGTAATCTTAAATATTTCAATACTTACAATAAATATAAGTATTAATATATTACTGTGGCATCAGTCGCGAAAGAATTGCCTCAATCTAAATCATATCAAAAATACCATTCGATTTTAATCCTGTTTATAGTAATAGCGGGAAGTAGTGTTGTAAAAAAAGTGATAATAATCCGGCCAATAGTGTTATCTTAAATAATAATTGCGCTTTGAATCTTTATAATTTCGTTATTCTTTTTAAATTTCTATCAAAAG